AGCCTTCACAATATTGATGATATAGAACAAGATATGACGTGTCAACCACGTCCACCTTCTAAAAAATCTTGTGAATATACTGCTAAACATTTTAAAATATTGCATTCTAATTTAATCTGCAAAGATCAAGACGAACCATCCTATAATCTCTGCAATCTGTCAAATGCTATTATTATGGACCAATCAAATGAAGTGAAAGTAACATGTGACCTCTCGATTTGCGATATTGATAAATATCTTATAATAGAAGAGCTCGACCTGTCGAATGGAAAGATGAGGGGTCAAAAAGTGGAAAAAAACAAACGAGATTCGAAGACTTTTGCAAATCTTGTAAAGGCCGCTCTAATACGAGCAAGAGAAAACAACGTTAATTTCGTATTTTTAAACTGCACAAGGAAAGGAAAAAACAGAACAATCTCACAAATGATTAGCATTGTGCCAAAGTTGCAATATCTTAAACCTGATGAACCTAAACCTCTTGGGGGAAAACTTAATTTAAATGTTTTAGTGCTTGACTCGATTTCAAGAGCACACTTTTACCGTTCATTTCCGAAGACCATTGAATATTTGCGAACAAAACGAGACAACAGAAAACCAAAATCAGCGTCATTCTTCGAGTTTCAGCTTTTTCAAGGTATTCATACAAGTACACACGGAACAGAGAAAGGTTTTTTTACTGGTGAACTGTACCCAAAAAATTATACAGAAAGACAACTTAGGGCAAAACCATCACACCCAAATGTCCTCTTCGGTATTATGAAAAACGCTGGATATCAAACGATGTTTCTGGAAGATATGTGTTACTTATGGCGATATGGTCTTATGGCCAGTTTTATGGTGAAAAGATGGAAACCTTTGAAAGAGAAACTTAATAACTCGAATATTGACACTATCGGTGAGTGTGCCGGATCATATGCTAATTCCATTGACATATTATATAACTATACCTGGACAGCCTGCTCATGCACTTTTAATCAGCGACGAGCGTGCCAAATTACGCGTCATATCTACTGACGAATATAAACGTACATGAGATGGTGTACATCATTGAATCTGAAAAAAATACAACAGTTTGAAATGAAATTGAAATGAAAGCTGATCTTCGCGCCAAGATTGTAGTAATACTGATCGATTTCAACACTCTCATAATTGCCGCCATTTTGAATCACGCATTTTTAATGACCAGCAGGCAGACTGTCCAGGTATATATATTATGTCAATGGCTGAGACACATAATTATGTACTTTCACGATTGTGTTACCTATATACCTCACAATCACACGATCCAATATCCCTGATTTATTCAGTCATTGTACTGACGTTTACCTTGCTTTAATAACTGTTTATATTATATCTCAACTGTAAATCATCTAATCAGAAAGCTCGATTTGTACCACGTGATCAGTAAATTAATCATAGAGTTCCATCGAATTTTTTCACATTATGCTATAAAAGTCGAATACCCCGCTGCAGCGGGGTATTCGAGTTTTCGTGTACCACGCGTGGATGCCTCGCACACGACTCGAGGTTGTCAACAATTTCAAAATGGAGGCAAAAGAAGCCATTTCACGCAGCTTTTGCGCTGCCTACACGTTGTTTCGATATAATATATAATTTATAGACCTTCCGCTCGGAGAATTCGACGAAATATTACCCCCTCGGGAAGATATATGGGGGTAATATTTCGTCGAATTCCCCTCGCTCCAGGTCTATAAATGATAATAGTATCATTTCTAAGGTAATTTTTAAAGAAAAAAACCCATCCATTGTAGAAAATAGTATTTTACAAAAAATAATGTCTCGAAAATTTTACAGCGATTTCAATAAAAGGGTGTTTTATGCAAAGTTGTGTTGATCTCAAATATAGTGTTTACCTCGAATATAATTTCCCCATATTTTTGCATCGTTTGTTGTTTTCATTACAGCATTTTCTTTAAAGTCAGTAAACTTTTTCATTTGTCGCTTTTATCTGTCATAATTACCCAATAACCCGAGGTTCCTCGACCAATCCGAGGGAAGGATTTTGAATAGTCACATGCGTTTCAATGGAAAACATTTTCGACCCTGAAAAATTCATATTCTTTATTCTCAGGCATCACACACTCTTCTTGCAAGATTGTCTTATCAGCAAGCCCTGGAACATCACATCAATTTACAGCAAATAAACATAATCAATTGTGCTACAATGGAAAACACTATCATCAATATCACCTGGATTTTTTAACTCGCTACATCAAGACAGTGGAAAACAAGCGCGGATCTATGGGTAGGCAACATAGTCAAGTGACTATGGTAAATTATCCAGATAATTATTATTCCATTCCTATAATATTCCGGTGATATAATTGTCAGATACTGATCTAGCGTGATTTTAATTTCCTGTTTTGAATATTTTCTTACTTCCCAGTTCTGATGCATGCTAAGTTATTTAAGGTATGAAAATTTCCTAGATCCGCGTCTGGTGGAAAGCACTCCAAAAAGCAAACCATTCTTCTCATACACAAATCTGCGGGTGTCTCATGATGACGTTGGTCTTCGAGTGCAAACTGTGGATCAACATCTTTTGGAATTCATTGAAGATATGTCCCAGGAAAAGAAAATACGCTGACATTCATCCTTTCTGACCATGGAAACACGTACACTGATTATCAGAAACATAAAAGTATAATAGATGGAAGACTTGAAATTAGTCATCCTTTCTTATTGGGCATCATTCCATACAATGTCGGTGAAATATTAGGAAAAGAAATTTTAGACAATCTAAAAATAAACCAGCATCGTTTGTTGAATATTTTAGATTTGAGAGCTGGGTTAATCGAACTTTCAAAATATAATGGAGAAGCCAAATTACGTCCTGCAGGTTTGCTAGGAAAGATTTCAAAATACAGAACTTGCAATGACCTGAAATCCTCACTTTCCGTTATTTGTATTTGCAACGGTTGGTATCTCCCAGTGAAGCTTTCCGTAGAACAGATAATCATTGCAGAGTTTGCTCTTGGTAAATTGAACAACATGATTCAGGAATCATTTGCGATCCCCAGGATAGAAAATAAAGCTTCAAACACCTCACATTTCCTCTTTGGGCATTGTCAACGATTACAAAGAAGATCAATTATGAACATCAGACGGCGGAAATCAGGCAAAGGAAAAATATCTGAACTAATGGATATTCTTGTGCAGTCAAGTCACCTCATAAAACAAAACGAGGTTTTCACGGTTTCTATCGAGTATAATGCAGATTCCAAAGAATCGTACGACATCAAGTTAGTGGATTATAAGAGGTTATCAACCTTTGGCATATACGAGCAATGTGCTGATCCAAACGTTGAACTTCAGCTGTGCATATGCGACAACAAATATCTTGCGCAAAACTTAACAAAGCGATCAAATTTTGATTTAGTGCGAAATAAAACGCATCCAATATATGACATAGTTGGTAAATCAGCTGAAATTGAGATACGTGAGTCTTGCATTTTTCTAATTCAACGATTCATTTCAGATGCAAATATTCCAAGAAAACTTCGTGAAGCAATTAGAATATATGACGTAGCCAACGTTTGCGATGACCAAACGTTTAGCCTCCACGTTAATGAAACAAATTCAAAGAGTATTTCAACAGCGAAGCTTCCAATGACTATGATCATTCCTCCACGAACATTATACTTTGTGACCGCACTCAAACCATTGGAGGTGTCTTACACACCTAAATTAGACCTGAATGTAAACGCTGTTGACTCTTAATTAAAAAAGTGTAATGTCTAGAATAACGATTTAAAATTGAAGTTAATAAGCTCATGGCGACCAGGTATATAATCCATCGCAATTATCGACCCTACTAGACCGGAGGGTCGAAACGTTGGGTCGTGAATGTAATCTTTCTGCGGTGATTACTTTTTATTTATTAGTAGCGCATTAAAATTACTGGAGGCTGATTGGTCGAGAGGGGTAGAATTATTTCATTAATTGTACTGCAGTGCCTTTTAATGATTTTGTGACGGAACGTTTTTTTGCATAGAAACTAAACAGGCCTGGAGGAACTAAAAAAGGCCAGAAAGGTAAACGAACATACTGCCAAGTTTACAAAATAATAGATAAAAGGTTGATAATGGTTTTCACAAGAAACTATCGTGTTTTCATTTAAAATTACGCCCGAAAAGATCGCGATGTTACAAAATGTCACAAAAGTTGGAGGGTTTTCTGTCAACTTTACGTCAAATTTTGTTCTGTTATGTTTATTTTTTGTAGCAAGCACTGTATATTCAACTTAATGTTTTTCTTCTTATACCCCTGTTTATTGTAAGGATGGGAGTATTTTACTAAGAACTAAACACTCGTAGAACTCATACGCTGATACGCCACTACATCCGGGGCACATTGCGGGTACTTTACGTACGTCAAATTTGGGGGTGACATAACGAGTTTCGAAAATTTTCCCGCCATTTTTATTGCTGTTGTTGTGAAAATACAAATGGTCTTTGGTTCGTATACAAAACAAAAATAACGTTGGAAATACAAACGAAAAACTTAAATAACATCCTTAGATAAGTAAAATTTATTCTACTTTAATGTTTAGGTTATAATTTAAAAAACAATCGCTCTTATAATGGTCTTTTGCGGCTGATTTACTTGGCGTCTTTGTGTGTATTTTTGTCACTCATATTTTAGTTCATATAATGAACAAAACATTACACGGTTTTCTCGAAGATACTTGCTAAGTCTCATTTTGATCAAATCGTAGCTACTTTGCCTAATCTTGTCCAACAAAGAAACATGTAAGTATCTTATTATTGATCCGTTTTTGCTCAGCATGATTGATGATAACTATATATGTATGTCAATATGATCGGCAATTCTCTTCACTTTTTACCACAGAACGTAGCTAGTGACTTCGTAAAGTTTTGTCGTGGTTATAATTATGTTCTCTGTTGAAAAACATTGTATTTTAATACGCAACCAAGTAATCTTTCTACTATAGAAACTGATGCGCCCACACTGTTAACTATAATTATAGATTACTTTCATTTTCTTGAAAGTTGTACACATGAAGTGTAAAATTTAGCTAATTCAGAATTATATTTAACATTGTTAATTAATCAATTATCAACTCCCATTAAAACTCAAATTCTCATGATACAAGACCGCCAAAAATTCATCTAGTGTATTCAACATAATATGAAAGGTTACCATATCAACAGGTCAGTATTCAATAAAACAAGCTGTAATTATCTGTTATAACGTGGACAAACGCCTCTCACTCTCTCCCAAGACCGATCAAACGCAGATACAACACCTAAAACAAAAATAGTTAAATAGAGCGACATGAAGGCGTGTGACAAAACCTTGTATCTAAGAACTTCGTTAGCCGCAGAACTATATATTTGCACTGGACAATTGTTTACACGTTTATTACACAGGTCTAACTTTTCATTAATTGACAGGTTCCCAATGTATGCTTCACAATACCTGTAGAAAATATTGTAGAAAATATGCATGGCTACTCAAAGACTTGCGCAATTTGAAAAATATCGAAAATACTTTGTGTATCATATTACAATTTGTGCAGTGTGTTTCTTCGACTATCACATCAGTGGTTAATAATTCCCTGCTGGTCTGTATGATGGTGATTTAAATCTTTTCATAATTCTAAAGCTAGCATATTGGCTTTACAAGTATGAATATATTTATAATGAATTGCTTGACACACATACTCGTATCCAGAGGGCCTTTATTTAAAAATTTCATGTTGTTCTCCATCTGTGAGAGTGACGATCCTCCAAGAATTACACCATCTAAGAAAAACAGTATGATTGAAAATCACACAATTAGGCAGGTCAAGCGCAGGACATCTGCATGCATATAATACTGTATCGAAATGTTGTTTACTCAGCTGGTATATGCCGACTTTCGGATGCGTTTATGTAAGGAAAATACCAGCCTGCTTATTTCAAATACCAGTCTAGAGATTACAGTCTGCTTTTTCCAAGTGACTGAAGAATCCTGTAAAAACCCGAGCCATACCTCCACATTCTTGAGACAACATTGAATGATGGTACATCCATCTGTTAGACGCCTCAATCAAAGAAACCTTTCCTTCACCATAACATGAAGTTAAAGATTTCTGAATATCAGCTACGCCCTCAAAATACTCTTTATTCCAAAATCGTTTACGGTAGCTACAAACAAGTAAAAAATCATTTCAAGAAGGTTTAACAATATCTGAGATTTTCACATTGCTTAATTCAGATAAACAAAATGTAGTGCTTCGTATGTCACATGCAGTTATTTTTTTTATAATTTTAAGCGTTATACCCCCAATGTAACTAATATTTAATTCATTAATAATTGAAATGTAACTAATTGAGTAATTTGTAAGTTTTTTTTGCAAAGCAAATTTCATTAACTTTTCAAATTCAAATTCAACTGCAACTTACTTCGACGGCCACAATGCTTTTCCAAAAAACCTTCCAACTTTAGTTTCGTCTTCAGGATGATCGTCCATTTTGTGTTTACCAGTCAACAAACCTCCAGCTAACTAAAATTGTTTAACTTTGTGGCTAAGATATGTTTCTGCCTTTATCAGAAAGAATACTTAAATCACCTACATCTTTTAGTAGCTAACTGTTTCATTCGAAAATATGTGTCATCGCTGCGCATCTCATATAATGAACTTTCAGAACAACTGTTTAAGCGGTCGACCTTGAATACATTGTATGCATGTGAATTAATTTCACAAATTTTAATTCACCTCTGTATTCGTTAAAAATATTTAGTAAAATTTTTAAAATTTTTGCGATGAACAGTACCACCAGAGCCAATTAAAAGTACTGAGGTACATTGACATTTTGAGTTGATCGTCTCCAATACCATAAATTTACGTCGTAAAATAATCGCTTTCAGTACCCTTTCCAATAATTTTGAAAGACTAAAATATTGTACGGAATAAAAACATCACCCAATAAACGCTAAAAACCACTTGTCGCCATTTTGAATCATGCCTTAACCAATCACCTTTGTAATAATACGAAATATATAGATAATATAATAATTATGCAATACCATATTGTAGGCAAAGAATCGTACTCCCAATCTTCGCATGCAAGGAAATAATTCTGCCTCAACCATCCTGAAAATATAGAAGACAATGATCAGTATTATTAACTCCGGCGTGACGCACGTCCAACTCTTGACTATAAAGCTTCTGAACATAAACACTACAGATTTAGAAGCCGTGCGAACCTAAATGTTGTTCGATATTTAGACAACACACCTTGTTTTAAAAGTAATGAAGTACGTTGTGAACCCGCTAAATGTTGTTCGATATTCAGAAGCACATCGTACTTTAAAAAGTATAGCGATATTATTATCAGCGATATCATTAAAATAGGAGCAGAATCCACATGTATTAAATATATTCTTACCCCAATTAAACCTAAACTTTATCGAACAGCATCAAAAGAACGGTTTATTTGTTCCTCTTGGAGGAATTGCCGTATCATGCGAGCGAAATCAAATTGCGCATCGGAAAATTAGCCAAAGATTTCGAGCTGTGCACCACAACTCTTGCGAGACAAAACTGTGACATAGCTGATAAATACGATCACATACGCTCTTCAATGATTGTCGCATCCAGTCAAGTCCTGGGTACAAATGAGCATTTAAGTTTTCAAATAATAGTATATTTCGCGCCGGAGTCTAGTTTACATGTGCACTGGTTGGAATTCTCCAGGGACCTAGCTGTTTTATATACAACCGGCCCCACGCAGAAGTTGATAAACGCGCAGTTCACAGATAATTGCGAACATGTGCAATACGACATGCGCGAGAGGACTGTTTCTCAAAGAATATCAGTTGCTTTCTCAAGATGCTTTCAAAATATTCTCTCTACTCTGTGTGGAAAGTTCACCAACACACGTTTTTCCAAAACGGAATATAGCTACCTGGTCAGTGGGTTATACATCCCTTGATAAACTGTTGGAAGTACCCAGTTATTTTGCTTACAGATGAAATAGATCTCCGCCTAAAATGTGTAATGTAAAGATTACGCAGCATAATATCCTTCACTTTAGATATTTCAAAATACTTTAAAAACGGAAACCAATTTCTATCGGTTTTCAGGGGGTAAACTCTGAAACATTTTTCGATTATTTATACGACGAACTGCTCAGCAAAATCGTACAAAACACCGAGTCTAATAACATTATGGTATCTTACCAACTCCCAAGCAGCATAATTACTGATGCCAAGTTCTTTGAACTTCCCCTCTGTATTAAAAATGAGAGAAATATCCCAAATTTAATTTAACTTACGAAACTTGTTAGGGTTCTACTGCCGCGTTTATTGCACGTGTATACGTACGCGAACGTAACAATTTAAATTTTGTTTAAATTATTTTATGCCAGATTAAAGGCTCTGTTACACGGTTCAATTTTTCTTGCAACTTCCAATGCAATTCTACTTTTGAGAGATGTATATTTGGGAACAACGAAACTTTTGTGTTCATTAAACTTCATGCACTTTTCTTCTACAAGACTTTTCACTCATTTACATCTCTTAGAAGTAGAATTGCATTGCAAGTTGGAAGAAAAATTGTACCGTGTAACATGGCCTTAAAACAGAGCAAATCATCAACAGAATCCAATCTTATATGCATCCATTCAATCGTTAATTTCATAAGTATCATCAGTTACATGATTTTAAACTTCTACGTGCGTACACGTACGTGCAAAAAACGCAACAGTGGAAAACAACCCTTTTAAATGTTGACTTAAATGCATGCTCACTCTTGGATTATCTAACGAGGATTTGTAGTACTAGAAAAGAAAACGTTTAACTAATCATATAAATTATACAAATCCACTCGAAATTAATCCTGACCCTTGATAGGGCTTTAAAGGCCCACACAGACCGGACGCGAATTGGCAACGCGGCGCGAATTTTCAACGTTTTTAATTTTTCAAAATCAAATAAATTTTAAACTATCATAATATTCTTGCAGATTACATAATAATAAAACATTTTGACTGCTCTAGCGTCCTTAGTTTCCAAATTTTGCTTCCAGAATTTAATTTATATGCTTCTAAAAACTCAAAATTCGCGTCGCGTTGCCGCATCGCATCCGGTCTGTGTCGGCCTTAACCCTTAAGAATTTTCAAAAAAACATCAAAAATTTAATCTTACGTTTATGCAAATGATCACAAGCTTGTAAAGTTTTTTCGATGGAGAAATTCCGATCAGGGTGATGTAGATAAAATATGTCCACATACTCAGTTTGTAATTGATTTAACGACTGATTCAGCTGATCAACAATACCATCAAAACTGAACCCTGCAAAGTAGACGTACCAAGGTTGATTATGTGCTTCCATGGAGCCCAGGCCTGTACCTAGACTGCTTAATTGGGGTGTGTATATAATCATATATTCATGTTTAAATATTATAGGAACAATGGGTACAATAGGGTACAAAATAAATCATGCTAGGCGTAAGACAAATATATATGAATACCCAACCTTTTTCACTGTAACCAGGGTAAGCTTTCGTTGCTATGCACATCTAAGAAGACAGAATGTCAAGTGATAGGTATCACACGTACATGATCTGATAAATATATTTCACATTTCATGCATCATGCACGAATCATGGATATCATGCATGTGTCAGTTAACCAATACTTGTGCAGATACATACTTCACCTGAACATCACACTTAAGCTGTTAGATAATTTATTAAACTAATACCAACTAAAAAGCTAGAGTTATAAGTCAATAGTTATTTTATTAAAACAAAGTAGAAACTCACAAGAAAATAAGTGATTAAAAAGCACATTCTTCATACTCATGCAACTCTTACAGCAATGATGAAGGCAAACAGTAGTCACACTGCATGAACAAGGTTAACTAATGGCATAATCTTAAAATTACCTTTGATCTGCCTTCTTTTGCAATATATTTGCCAATGATTTTTTCACTTTTCCCTCCATTATACCTAGAGTAAAATATTTTATTACTTTTATTAAAGGGTATAAATTTTTATTTCATTTTTTGAATGTACGTATAAGCATGCAAGATAGCTGTTAACTACACATTACTGGTATATATATCCAACTAAATATTCCTTTTGAGGTTTTATAACCAGTAGGTACTAATTCGGATGTCAAAGGTATAGACCTATAGTGTACAATGTTATTCTAATGTACTTATAGAAAATACGAAATAGAAAATATCAAAACTCACATGAGAGCTGTATCAAACCATTTGAAACCTTTATTCAGACAGTAATCCATTACTTCAAAGCTCTATAGGAAAAATATATGAAGGGATATATTACTTTATGTACCAATTTATAATATATACTGCTGTTGGATCAGATCTATAACAATTTTGAGACAGCTGGATTCTGTGAAATACTTTTTTGTTGTTCGATCGATCAGGTCTATTGTTTTTGGATCATATTTATCGCAATAATGGAGCTGGATTCTCTGGGCTACTTTTAATGTTGTTGCACCTTAAATAAAATTCAAATTATGTTATATTTAAATACCTCAGATTCGTTAGTCTGCCTGCCAAACACCATAGCTCCAATTTGTGTATCAACCATTTTGTAATGTTGGTCTGATATGTTTCCTAAAGATTGACAAAGACATGTTTTCTCTACAACGATCACACTTTTAGTTATTACTTAATATAGTATCATTTCTAAGTTATGGTGACTGATCAACCAGAGCTTCTCAGCATGTGCTATTACCATAAAATTTCATTTTTTGTCTGTAGGGTTTTATTTAGAGTCAGTTCACAACAGATCACAGCAACTGATTATTCTAGATTACTTTAATTAATACAACTACAACTGCAAGTATGGAATTTGAAACATTTCTTCCTGGATGGTCTATGAATTCATTAGAGAAAATCAGGGTAGAAAATTATCACTTATATTCTAATAATGCCAATTAATGAACCTTTGAATCTGACTTTGGATCTCATTAGCATAACTAACAAATTAATGTACACAGTTACAATTAGGGAATTAAATCAATCGATTCAAGATAATTCAAAATCCTTTTGCACGTTTTGCAGATGGAGGTTCACTATAAAAATAATATCTCACTCTAGACCGTCGAGATCAATATATCTGCAATGAAGGGTCAACTGTGAAATGCATTAGTTTCTTTATGATAGAGAGTACGGTGGCCCAGAAGTGCAAACACACGCACAAATTGAAATACACACGCACAAATTGAAATACATGCGCACAAATTGAAATGCACAAACGCAAATTGAAATACATGGACACAAATAAAAATACACGAACGCAAATGATAAACGAACGCACAAATTGAGATACACGCACACAAAACGAAACACACGAACACAATTCAAATACACGAACGCAAATGGTAAACGCACGCACGAATAGAAAACACGTGCACTAATAAAAAACCCATGCGAAAATAGAAAACACATGCAAGCCAAATTTGGCAGTCCAGCAAACATATTTATATATATTATATTTTGTATTATTTTGTTGACGAAGTATAATTGAATGAATCCTGATTATCAACGGTAAGTACAACTTTAAAGGGTATTTCTGCTATTTCACTCTACTGGTCTATTATTTATACGTTTATAGGCGTGTATGATCTTAGTATTTGTTTATATAAATGTGGTGTAACTAATAATTTATTTACATATATTATTAAATTATCGTATTTGAATATCCGGCTCTTTAATATACTAGTATTGTTCTTTTCGTAACAATACATATTCTTATATTATGTTTTCACATCTCTTAAGATCAAGTTATTTAATGCTCAATATTTTCATTTTCACTATAATAATATTTTGTATATGAGGGGGGGGGGGGCAAAAGGAAAATTTTCTACTCCTATCAAAGATCAAAGGTGTTGGGGGGAGCAAATATAAAAAATTATTCAAGCTATTTTCCACATACCTAATACCTGCCCAATTCTAATAATGACATCTTCCCTAGAAGATGTATAAAAAATGTACTCAATACTATATTATAATACTTGGCATATTAAATAAAGTTGGCATCAATGACAAATCAGAATAAATTGTGATTTTGGTAATTGATTTTGAATTCCCTAGAGGATTAATTGCAGGCCCTGGGAACGAAATTGCATGCTGGGTGTATGGTACTGGTATTTAGTTTTATAAAAAATATTGCATGGTTAATTTAAGAATTATATCTAGATGTTCTGCCAGACATGTGGAACTTCATGTCAGAAAAATGCAAACTTTTGTGAGACCTGTGGGACAGCATTAATCACTAATGATGGTAAGAAAGAAAAGGATGGCAATTCTACATCACAGCCACTGAGTTTTAAAGAATACATGGAAAGCAGACATGTGTCACAAAAACAAGATATGTCATTTACTGCCATGCAGAAACGAAAAACAAATGAACGAAGCCAGAGCATTAAAAAAAGAGCTAAGAAAAATGAAATTGTACAGGTTGGTTTGCATTCATTTGTGTGGCTAATTAATGTGTGGCTAACACTGCCAGAAGCTGTTTAACCCATGGGCTTGCATTGCTCTCTGATGAAAAATACTTCTTTCATGCCGGGTGATTTTAAAACTTGTTTAATTGGTTAACCCATGAGTGGCATTGTGCCAAGATGCCAATTCCTGACTACATTACTGTAGTTTTTGCTATGTCTAATGCCGGATGATTTTACTTGCAAGGGTAGATGCATGCTGGTGCTTAATTAGAGGGAGTATTACAGATGAGTTAATTAACAGCTAGAGGCTCTCAAAAATATATAGTTTTTGAAAAAAAGTGAAGTGTATAATCTCTGATTTAAAATTTTACTTCTAAAATATTAATTTTCTTACCCTTATGTAGATTAATATTGGAATTGCTGAAAGTGATAATACTGGAAGACAACTGAAAATTAAGAGAGGGTCTCTTCTGCCTATTGATGTCAAGAAATGTGATTCTCATGTTGTAGTAAAGAATCTTGCCATGGAAAAACAGTTCGCACATAACAAACAACTAAGAGAATGTGATCAATGTGAATGGGTACTTTTGTACCCAGACTTTGATCTTGTGCTAACAATTCCTGGAAAATCGGAGCCGTTTTCCGTCGAACATTACAAAGAATCCATAGGCAAACCATTTTCTCGAGTCAACCTTTACCTCTGTAAATTGGCAGATTATGAAAGTAAGAAATAAGTCTTTTTGTAAAAATATTTAGTGTTCCTACACACTAAGTCACTATTGACTTCTTTCAATTTGCAAAAGATTAAAATTTTTGTGATATCCATGCGACGAAAATACGTCACAAGGAAATGCCAAAGCCAATTAATAAACTAAAGACTGCAACCAGATGCAGTATATAGCGCGTAGCTTTTTCCTTTTGAAGCAAATAAATTCAATTCTTGAGGGAAATTTTGTTAGCTAGCTAATATGCCAATGGGCCTCGGACATGTCAAAATGTGCTATTATTCAGTAATTATCAAGAATAACAGAACAAATGCTTTTAAAAACTCAAAAATTCGTGAAAATCGCGTGGCGTTGGCGGATCGCGTCCGGTGTATTTTCACAGACTATTTTCGACGGTGATTTTCTTTTTCTGTTATTGAGTAAATTGTATACGCGCCTGTGTTAGCTTGCCGAAGTAAAGTAATCTACTCCGTTTAAATTACTTAATAGCATACATCAGGAGAAGTAAGTCGCCGTCATCTAGAAATCGACCATGTTTCAACCGGGTATTTAGATGATCTTTATTAGGGTAATTAAATTTTTGGGTTTGCCTGTTGTAGGTGCGAATGATTTAGAGAGCGACCCCGAGAGTGATATAAGGAAAGAAAGCAAGACAAGTATTGCAAGTAAAGAAATACAGAATAAGGTTGCTGTCCCCCAGTTGGATGTTGAAAGTTAGTTTAATTAAGAATGTACTCCATTCCATAAACCGTCTTTTACTAAATCCATACCATTGATCTGTAATTGTGTGCATATATGAATCTCCTTAGTCAATCTCTCTGAAGAAGGGAACACTGTGGATCTCTCTGAAGAAGGGAACACTGTGGGTCTCTCTCAAGAATGGAACACTGTGGATGAAACAACGCAAGTTTTGGCTGATTCTCTTCCTACAGGAATTTTTGAAGGTAGAAAATTTAACGCTTTTATAACATATTGCGTTGTTCTGTGCCTAGTAAAGAAATAATAATGTAATCCATGCATTTTATGACATTTTAGATCAAAACTTTGAAGATATTGGCAGTAGCATTGACTGTTTTGCGGACGAATTAGCAAAGCCAATGGAGAGTGAGATATTAGTTATTCATAGGTCTAATGTAAAGTGTGACTTACTAAACCATTTTGTGAATGATACCTTATTGCATAAGATTGTTGATGTAAAAATGCTAGATCCCAGAGGTATGGAAGAAAAAGGCGAGGGCGTTGGGGTTGTGAGGGATGCATTCTCACTCTTTTGGAATGACGTGTATAATAGTTACATGCTAGGTGAAGATGAGAGAGTTCCTATTATACGCCATGATGTATCCCGGGAGAAGTGGCAGGCAATTGCCAGAATTCTTTTAAAAGGTTACATGCAAGAACGATATTTCCCCATAAAGATTTCAAAAGTCTTTTTGTGCTCTTGCCTCTTTGGTGAAGACACTGTCACTGAAGATATGTACTTAGATTCCTTTATGAAGTACGTTTCGAAAACCGAAGCGCATCTTATAGAAAGAGTTCTTTCTAACTCTCTTAGTACTGATCATGAGGAAGTGGTCGATTTCCTGTCGGCATTTGAATGCAAAAAACTCGTAACTGCTGCAAATTTTAGGGAGGTGGTTATAGAAATTGCTCATAAGGAACTTGTGCAAAAACCTAGGTATGTGTGCGATTGTTGGATGGACGTATTATATCCCTTGAAATCCTTCGTTACGACAAGAGATGCCCTCTTTGAAATATATCAGTCACTCTATCCTACCGCAGCAAAGGTTTGTAAGATTATTAAAGCAGATCCTCAAACTTCTGCAGAAAGGGAGTCAATTAGCCATCTTAAGCGGTGGATCAAAGGTTTAGATGAAAATGCTCTTGCAAAATTTTTGAGATTTTCTACTGGCTCTGACGTTATTTTGTGTGAGGCAATCAAAATTACTTTCACTACGCTTGCTGGAAAAGGTCGGAGACCATTCTTTCATACATGTGGCTCGGTCATAGAGTTACCGGCAACATATGATGATTTTTGTGATTTTAGGGAAGAATGGTGTAGTATTATCTCTAACGTTGACATTGAAATGGGCATAGCTTAAATACTTTATCTAATAATTTGATATTTTATACGTTATACGTTAATCACCTGCTTTGCATGTGTCATGTGGTAAAAAAGTTTAACAGTCTTACTGTAAACATGGTAAAACATAGTTTAACTGAAAGGGAAAAGCAATAGCCACTTAGGAAAGATATTCAATATTTGCGCAACAAGTATATTCGATTTGCAACGAGTTTTCCGTTATATTATAATTATCGAGTTAAAAAACAAGATATTATTGATTAGTTAAATAGTAATCAGATAGAGAAAATAGTGTCAAAACTTTTTTCTCGTTTCAATTTTCCCAATCAGTTGAACAGTTATATTTATGTTAGTGATAACGAAAACATTTTTGTGTTGGTTGTTAATATTAAATGTTCTGGGCCGTGACGTGTTAGAATTAGGGGATGTCACCAACTCTAATATGAAATATGTAATACTATTTAATGTAAATGATATAGAAGAATGATAGTTAACATTGGGCGAGGGAAGTTCAAAAAGGACCACTGTAGCTGGTGCCGAGTGAGAGCATTTTTTATTTTACTAAAAAAAACAATTCGCCAACTTTTGTCATTACGAGGTATTGAGGTGACATGAAATTCTCTAAAGAGTTATAATTATGTTAATTTAGATTTTTTTACATTGCACATTTTCTAATCTTAAAATTGATTAAAAGTTGCAATTTCTGGGTGTTACAACAGACTACGTCGTATATTTTCTGGCATGGATTTATCCCGCTGCCTTTTTCCTCGACATGATGACAACTTAACCCTACGATAACGATTGATATTCAAGCCACTGTGTATTATACTACCACACTTCAAATAGATTTAACACAACTGTTTCAAAGTTTTTTAAACGTTAGTTTTATTCTATTACTCGGCAACCCCAATCAAGCGTTGAAACATTGCCAGGGATTCTCTCCAAGTGTTTGGCTCCTGAAATCCTAACACGGCAGAACTGTATTCAAAATACTCTTGGTAGATTTGATGGGATTCGTCTTCGGTTGCTGTGGCGATATAACGTTCAACTTCATCCATATCAGGTTGTAAATATTCTTTCTGATAATTTTCGGCACCAACAGACTCGGGTAGAAAGAAAAGTTGATCAGGGATTCCATGTGCGGTATAGTATCGCGATTTTCTTATGTAATGGGTATTCCATGATTCTTTTATTCCTTTCAGGTCCTTCTTCATAACTTTTACGAAACAAAACCAGAGGCACTCGAGATGTATTTCGTTACTTGTATCCAGAACGCCTGTGGCTGCCAGATCTTTGAAAAAGTTAATCCACCAAGACGACCATGAACGGCGCAACATGGCCCACCATGCTTCTATCCGTTGATTAGTATGAGATGACCCATAACGATGAGCATTTGTACCTCGCTGGCCATCCACGTGATTACGACGCAAGAAACATTGGGCCGTAGCCATTATGCCGTTTTCTGTCCCTTTATCTGTTCTTAAAACTGTTGGACAACTTCGTTGCTCTTTTATACAATCAAGGAACAGCTTTCCTACAACGTGTGGGTTATTGTTTGTTCTGACAATCTCAAGCCACATGATTCTTCTACTAAAACCGTCTATACAACCGTGTATGGGAAAACCGAATTGCTTTAGTTTATCATACCCGTCAGCATGCCAGCTGTAGTTCGGTCCTGGATTTAGGTATTCCCTACGCTGTAGTCGATGGGCTTTTCTTAGTCTTGAACCTTCAGGATCAAGCTCAGAAAGAATAGTTTGGACTGTTAAGCGACGTACATATATTCCATGATGAGACTGAAGTTTCCTCCACATTGCCCGGTATCCCAGTAGCCTCCCGTTGCCATCGAGCTCTTGTTGAATACATTCCCTTACCTGATCGTCATTGGCGTTATACCTCCTTCGGCCTAACCCATATTCTTTAAGCTTATTGAGAAGGGTCCTTTTGGATATTTTTATGTCATGAAACTTTTCCAAGCAATCTAATATAGTTTGGTATTTGTACTGTTTATTAAAATAATAGCGAATCGCCGCTTCCATTCTCGAATACTAAACTCTGTCGTAAAGCTTGTTAACTATATATTATTACAATTCAAATATTCGGAAACAAACATTTTTGAAATTATTTAGTTGCGTTGTATTTCAAATTGTGTGCGTGTATGCGAATTGAATTTGCGTGGGTTTTTTATTAGTGCACGTGTTTTCTATTCGTGCGTGCGTTTACCATTTGCGTTCGTGTATTTGAATTGTGTTCGTGTGTTTCGTTTTGTGTGCGTGTATCTCAATTTGTGCGTTCGTTTATCATTTGCGTTCGTGTATTTTTATTTGTGTCCATGTATTTCAATTTGCGTTTGTGCATTTCAATTTGTGCGCATGTATTTCAATTTGTGCGTGTGTATTTCAATTTGTGCGTGTGTATTTCAATTTGTGCGTGTGTTTGCACTTCTGGGCCACCGTACTTAGATCTTAAGACTTTCATACAAATTCAGGTATGTATACCGATTGTAAAATACAAATTATTACGAAAATCACTAAACTGCAGACACTGCCGCTATGAATTTCAAACGGCGGTAGACGTTTGATCATTTCAAATTCAAATTCGGTTAAGTCATGTGATCAAATCGGTTCACACCCTAAAATCATTTCGCCATTTTGCGACTTTATTTGTTCATCTTTCTTGCTTTCTAAACATGTCTCTGGTTCAGCTTAAAATAATTTATACATATTATTCAAGAAAAAGGACCACACCGCTCTTCATTCTTGTCTAAAGCCGGTTTTCCACTAGCGATATTTTTCGCACGAATCGATATTTTACTTTTGTCCCAGGGCTCTCAACTGCAACCATCTGGAACAAATTAATCAAATACAAAGGAATAAAGTCGCTTCGCGCGAAAAATATCGCTAGTGGAAAACCGGCTTAAGGCCTTTCCTTGGTCATATGTTCGTCCAAATGTATTTATTTTTGTACAGTGCTGCACCGCCTGCACGCTAAGATTCGCGCGTAAATTAAAATTAGAAAAACAGTCAACAATAACACGAAGTCATGTGACTAAAACGATGAACCGATTTGATCACATGACTTAACCGAATTTGAATTTGGAATGATCAAACGTCTACCGCCGTTTGAAATTCATAGCGGCAGTGTCTGCAGTTTAGTGATTTTCGTAATATACAATAGCGTAGACCATAGAATACGCCTCGAGAAAGCGCCAACTGTACGTTTTAACTTTTAATTTTGTTACATCAAGTTCCATTACGTGGTCGCCAGGCAGACTGGGTATTCAACAGAGCATAACGTACGGTGGCTCACAGGGGCCACCCATATAAATACGTAAATACCAATCCACAAAATTCAAAACACAATTTAAATATTCCGAAAGGCACTTTACATGTTTTCAAACGCACTTTAAATTTTAAATATGTGCCAACACACTTTAAAAATTTTTAAACGCACTTTAAGTTTTCCAGCACAATTTAAGTTTCTCAAACGCACTTTAAATATGTTCAAACACACTTTAAGTTTTCCAACACACTTTAAATTTTTGAACGCACTTTAATTACATGCGGCGGGCTCATCGCATAATTACGCGTATGCGCAAGTCAAGGTTACTTTATTTTCTTTTTTATCCTGTCGTGCGCGGTGCGTTTTTTCACTCAATTTAATTGAACTTAAAAGCTCACAGGAAAGCAAGGAGTCGAATATATAAGCAGTACATGATTGATCATTATGAGTTGTGCAGGGTGCGAAGTACCCTGGGAAGGAAATACAGCACATCAGGAATTCCAGACACTGTTTCATTCTGGGGCTTGCGTATATAATGGGTATTCCAGTGGTCTTTCACTTTAGTTAAATCATCCTGAAGTATCTTGTTGAAACAATACCATAATGCTTCTATGTGATATGTGTTGCTAATTTCCAATATTCCTTGCTCTATCATGTCTTGGAAGAAGTCAATCCACCAGCCTGACCTGTTTCGTCGTAAATATGACAACCAAGCCTCTATTCTCTGGTTTGCTGGAGATGAACTATATGCATGAGCTTTTTCCCCAGCCCATTCATCATTACCATCTGACCTTAGATAGCACTGCATGGCACACATAAGAACGTTTTCAGTTCCACAGTCTGTACGGAATGCGCATAGGACAACCCCCAATCTCTTTCATTATTTTCGCTACGACGTGACGACTAACGTTAATATGGTGGCGAAGCCTCAAAGCATGCCAAATACTTCTACATCCAGACAGCCTTCCTGCTCCTTCAACTTCTTCTTGAATTACTGTTCGTAAATGTTGATCATCAATGACCTACCCCCTTCGCTTTAAACCTAACGACTTTAAACGACGTTTTAGTGTTCTTAAAGACGTCGATACACCAGCACTATTTAGAAGAACAACGGTTGCTCCATATGGGTATCCACGGTTAAAATAATTAACAATAAGATCCGTAGTCTCTTTCTCTCACATGACGTTTCTGCATCACCCGCAGCATTGCCGCACCCTGCACAACTCATAATGATCAATCCTGTACTGCTTATATCTTCGACTCCTTGCTTTCCTGTGAACTTTTAAGTTCAATTAAATTGAGTGAAAAAACGCACCGCGCACGACAGGATAAAAAAGAAAATAAAGTAACCTTGACTTGCGCATGCGCGTAATTATGCGATGAGCCCGCATGTAATTAAAGTGAGTTCAAAAATTTAAAGTGTGTTGAAAAACTTAAAGCGTGTTTGAACATATTTAAAGTGGTTTGAGTAACTTAAAGTGTGTTGGAAAACTTAAAGTGTGTTGGAAAATTTAAAGTGTGTTGGAAAACTTAAAGTGCGTTTAAAAATTTTTAAAGTGTGTTGGCACATATTTAAAGTGCGTTTGAAAACATGTAAAGTGCCTTTCGAAATATTTAAATTGTGTTTTGAATTTTTGTGGATTGGTATTTACGTATTTATATGGGTGGCCCCTGTGAGCTACGTTTCTCATACAAAACAAGCTTCGGTTTTACCATAGCTTTATTCTTCTGGGGCCTCTGGGCCCAGTTGTATATATGAAAGACAAGTTAACATTCAACTGTAGTTAAGAGCAGAATTGACCAATCAGAGGCAGGTATTTCGAGTAAGCCAGGATTTAACTATACAAATGTAGTTAATAGAAGAGTTTTATAAGGGGGGACAACCGGCACCTGAAGTTTGAACCTTTGTAACTATTATACTTCTTCTTACATCAAGTATCCGTCCACAATAAAAAGAGGTCGGGGGGGGATGACGAAACAATTTTTTTCCAAGGACAGGTAATGACAAATAAATTCTCAACATTTTATTCAAAAATTTTGCAAGTCATTTTCTTGTCGATATTTGCCCCTGCAAGACATAATGTAGCTGCATTTGAAGGAAAGGATTGGCATTTTCATTCACAAATGGCTTCATTAAGATCATATTTGCCGCCAGCTGGCGGTTCTGTGTGGAGAAATGAACGAACATTGACAAGGACATCATCCAGTGGAGAGGCTGAATGTAGATTATCTCGCACGAAAATAAAACATATTGTAATACGTGAAGTATGGAAGAGAGATGTCCCGTCCTCTCATGCTGTAAGTCTTTGCCGTCGTATTTTACTAAAAAGCTTGAAATTTTACTCACCCGATGAATATATCCTTCTCGAAGAAGAGACCTCTGATTTTCAAGGATCGAGTTCTCAATACCTCTGATAGCCTGAATTCTGTAGTGCTATGTAGTTAACTTTAGATGTATATGTACGGTGTATGTATAAAAGGAAACTGCAATTTAACTTGCGTGTCAGTCACTGCGTTTATAATGGCATCTTCTGATTTAAAAAATTGTTTTAAAAACTCTTTATGGTAAATACGGGTTCTATTAAGATCTGTTCACACGATCCAATTTTGTTGGATCCAATTCACTTCTGATGGATGTTTTATAGTCTGTTGTTTTATAATGTTTATGAGCAGCATGCGAATCCACTGAAGCTAAATGCAGTACTGCTTATCAATAACAGACTATATTCCATTTCCATCCATCAGAAGTGAATTGGATCCAACAAAATTGGATTCTGTGAACTGACCTTAATAAAAAAAGAACTTTGATAATCACATTGGTGTTGTGTTAATTCCTATGAATTTGTAAATATTGTACTATATCCACATGCTAATAGCCATTAGTAAGTCTTAGCTACTGAATTACCTACTGGTAGGTAGGTACTTAAATTGCAAGTTACTATTACCAAGTCAGCTAGGACTCAACTCATAGCAAATTTATTAATTTCAATATTTTCATGCTATACATATTTTTGCTGCTATGAAAGAATGCTTCATATTTCTCTGCCTTAACATTTACAATATATTTGTTGTTCTGCACTGAAAATGCAATGGAAATATTGGTTACACATCAAATATATTCAAACAGAAATATTAAAATTGATAAATTTTCAACTTGTAAGTTCCAATGGAACTTGCCGGGGCAGTTGATCTAATCACATCATGCTGGCTGGAACTGGGGGCTATGCAGGATCACAATTTTTTTTTAACTAGGACAATGCCATTTGTATGCCAATGTATGCCCTCCCTCGATCGCACACAAACTAGTTACTGTTCATTTTAACAGTAAAAGTGCCCTTTTTGTTTTCTAAACATACAATGCACAGTATGCACTTATACACAATAAGATACTAAGAGGTGATTTTGGAAAATTTGGAAAATAATAAGTAAATTTAGAATATTGATGATTTATTGTATCTTGATTGTGTTCACAAAAGACTTTATAAACTGAATAATCAGAGGAACTGTGGATAATACTATAAATGACTCTAACCTATGATGGTTTGTTTCTTTGGCCATCAAAAAATGCTTCTTTTAGTCATAAACATATATTGCAGAAGCTCATATTTGGTGATTTGACTAATAATTTTCACATGCAAGAGACATGTTTTTTTGTGCCCCCAAAATACTGTGTTTGTACCATGTGAGAAATGATCAGTTTAATTTTTACATGCACTCACAATCTTGTTTGTTGCTCAATAAATACATAACCCTGGCTATTTTGAACATCTTGTATTTTTATCTTTTTAACAGCTTTATAAGATTGATGTAATGACTCAGTCAAATCATTGGTTTATTCTACGTCGTTATCGAGAATTTCATTCTCTTCATGTTGATGTAAGTATTGATTTGGATAATTTTATACGAATGAAAAAATAGTTGTAGAATTAGGTTTGGAAGATTTATCGATGGCTGTGAAAATGCTGTTGTTTTTCACTGTTTTTCTTTGTTTTGTTTTAATATGAATCCAAAATACTGCTTCAAATTTCAATCCAGTGTTACTGTACATGTGTTATACTTCATATACTTCTAAACCACTGTTCATTTTAAACATTTGGGAAATATGACTTAACCATTAGTCCAGAAAATATTTATGAAAAAAGATATTCAACTTGTAAACAAGCGAATTAAAAAATCAATGTTAAGATCTGCTTTAACCCAGAGTTAAGCCAAATGGCATTTGAGCAACTGGTGTGTGAAATAATCAACTGCATGTTTTCATATTTTTTTATTTTTTTAGCTTGTCCAACAATACAACATTCCAAGTGACATGCTGCCAACCAAGAAACTGTTTTCCAATATGTCATTGGGTCATCTTGAGAAAAGACGTAATGCTCTTGAACATTATCTTCAAAGACTTATCAACAGGTGAGAAATTCAATTTGATGATTTAAATGTTAAATTTAATTGTTAAATTTAACTGTTTAAAGGAGTGTCTAACATAGGAATTTGCATTCCTTGTTTGCACTCTTAGCCTTGCTGTTTGAAAATCGTGCAATAAAATTAAACTAATTAGCTCTGGGTAGTGGTAGTGGTGTGTTTGTACACACAGGATGATTGGTGAAATGAAATAACAGACTTTTATGAAGGATATATCAAATTTAATTATTTAATTATTTCTGTAGTATGAAGGAATTAACAGTTATTTATGATTCTTTATACATATTTAATGATACCTTTGACCTTTCTTCAATATGTTGGTGTATAATATGTATTTCATAACAGCCAGAAATGATGCATGTACGCCCCAATATAAGAATGATCATCAATTCCAAGCGGTGGGAAATGTGGTTTTCGACCAGTTTAATCTGTAAACTTAACTCGGGCCCCATCTTTAAAATTAAAAGTTGATGAAGGCCGGAAGCCGAAAACACACTGACTATCGACTATATTAAAATACATGTACAAAAATTAATGCAAGGCCTAAATCCGCCTAAAACAAATCTACATACATAATATATACTATATTTTCAAGATGAAAAACGATTTTCGGGAACTTAGAAGAATACTTACCTTATTTTTGGGAGAGTTTAAGAGCGTCAGAGCGACGTTTATTTGCGACGATATTTCAAATACCAGTTTCCAAAACAAAGTTGCTGCTACTCAGATTTTTGCCCATACCTGTAGACGGCAACTTTTAAACTATACAGAAAACTTGAATTCTTTGAAATTAAAGCTATCAGATAAAAAAAAGTATTATCCTTGCAATTTTTCGCTCGAAAAGACGAAAACAACCTCGCACATTTCCAAACCTGGGAAGGAAGATGGCGCCGCGTTGGCACATTTCCCGCCTTTATCAGCGATACTTCATTTATCGCTCTATATATTTTAATGCAAGTTTTGTAGGCTTTCCATCCAGTACGTGGCACCAGCTGTTTCCAGAGTACGTTTTACTTTTAAGGTGGTTTGCGTGAAGTCGAAAACGAATTATAAAGATTAACGTTAACGTTAAGTAAATACAACAGGAATGGTCTATTGTCGTTGTAATCGCCTCATTTTCGCTTTCATACCATTTCATTCCGGCACGGCTAAATCTCCTGACTGTTTATCCCATGCCATCCCTCATATGGTCTATTTTATCCCACATGGGTCTATTTATACATTTATACAGTAGGAGCGGTGTCTATAGCCATGTGGTATAAAAGATTAGTAACCATGCACTAATTATGAAAACTGTATTTTTTCTAGTCATCATGATATTGCTGAATCTCAGGAACTATTCCAGTTTCTTAATGTCCAAACTCACGTATGTTCGATGTTATACGATGTTAAAAATTTAAAATATGTTCTGATACACACACACGTTGAAATTTTGGTGTAAAGCATCAAATTGTTCCTATACCCGCGGTATTGTGGCGTGTCAGTTTGACCATGCATTTAAGCAATTTTTTAACCAAAGCTGCAGTTGTAATTATTAATAAAATCATAATCTGACTGGATCTCGTAAAAAAATCGCCAGATCAGCGTACAGTATACCGTTATACATCCTATATATCTATATATCAATAGTTATGTATAATAGGCGCAAACTCGGGTTTTCGCTATATCCATATAGTTACATATGTATAATAAGGTTGATAAACGATATCCAAAAATCCTTATCGGAGTTTTGTTCATACCTGAATTATCACCGTTTCCAACAAGCAACGCAACTTCATTGTAGCCTCGTAGCGAGGGCACTGCGTTGGACGACAAAAGAGGTTTAGGTTCGATTGTTTTATCACAGCGTTTTCGTTTATGTCTTCAACTTAATCGTATGTTTGCACAGCTTCGTTTTCCCCAAATTTCAATCATCCCCTCCATGAAAACCAAGAAAGGTTAATTGGTTGTTTTTAAATTAAGGATGTTCTTTGTGTGACAAGACAGCTTGCTAAAGTTTTAGAGAAGGAAGGTATGTTAATAATATTGTGTTGTTGTTTTTTAAAAAAAGTTAAAATGCATGCCGGGAAAGACGTGCATATGGTACTTGTTTTCCTTCACGACCACCACCCCCCTGCCACAAATTCCTTACTTCTATGAGAAGGACAGCAGTTCGAAAACACATAAAGTCATGCAATGGCTTTAATTTCGACTAATTATTAATTAGTACATATATTTTTTGTTCTTTTACATAAAGGACGAAATATTCTGGCAAGTGGTGGTATTTTTACGTTCTCTCCCACTCAAATGTACTGCATAACGCGACAATTGCAACTACCGCATATGGCTATTGAAGAATCAGGTAAAACATGATATTTTACTATTAAACAAACAGCAATTTCCCTATTTCTGTTATTGTCATGCTTGTGGAAAGTTTTTTTTTGTACATTTCCTGCTGCATGTAAGTGATAGTATAATTTTTTTTGGCCATGCATTAAAACAACCGTGATGTTGCATGAATTGTGCAATTACGCTGTACATTTATTTAGTAAAATAACAATTACAGTTTTTTCAAGCAAAATATACGGCGTAAAGACGTAAACTCTCTATTGTGGAAAGAGTATTTACACTAGTGGGTGGAAAAGAGATCGATATACTTATCAGCACAACTTTAATTGTAGCTAATTGTGTCATTTCTTGATAGATACCTCAAACCCAGGCGACAATATGGTCGATTTAGGTCATCTTTACGGCTTTATTCAGGAGTTAGAGAGTTTGTGTGTCAGTGGAGTTTCCAGTCGTTCATCACCATGTCAAGAATTGATCAGCAATCAAGCTTTTGATATCTCACTTTTTAAATCCTTAACAAAGTTACAGGTAAGGCTAATCTATAGAAACATGCAGCAGGGCATGACGCATGCTGGGCTTTGCTGAATGAGCCGCCCATCATAACCTTATTCTGCTTGATAGAAGAAAGGCTGACCAAGATTTGAAGTCGGCAATTGAATTTGTAATTATAAGATACACGCAGGACCAACACATAGGGCACTTTTCTTTAAGCGGCCAAAATGGTCAAAACGGTCATATTTTATATTGAAGCTGCATTTTTAGTGCGATTTTAATGCAATTTTCTGGAAACACTCTAAAATTCCAGTAATCTCTCTGTACTTAAATACAACTGGACCAATAGGGTGATGCAGTGAATCTTTGCCTTGCAGATTGAAAAATGTCATATCAGTGTGATAGATGGGTTATTTCGGATACAGAAACAGCTGACACATGTAACATTATCCCACTGTCTCAGTTCTATGAAGGTTTGTATAGCTACTGTACATACCAAACTATACTGCTATTTGATGATGTGTAAATTGTATTATTAGTATTGTATTTCATTATTGTATTATTAGACTAATAATTAATTAGTCTTGAGTGTCGTGAACATGTCAAGGTGGCTGATGTGATAGAATATTTCTAGGTGTAAAGTAAAAAACAAATTCCGGAAAGACAAGACATTTTGAGGGTCAATAAATGATTCAAACAAAACACAGGTTGAGACTGTAAATTTTCCACTTTATTTCAAAGTCATCTTCGGACAGAATGAAATGCAATCAGGGCCGTAACTAGAACGATAATTGGAGAGAGAGAGAGAGAGAGAGACTCAACGGAACGCCAATTTATCCAGACAAAGCGAAACTTGATAATCTTATGCATGTTGTTTGAGCTATACTCACTTGTGTGGTATTGTTTGTGCAAAATATTGAAATTTATTTTTTAGGAGTTCTTGGTTGATTGTGCTATGCAGAAACGTGCTGTAAGTCTCATATATAATATTATTTTAATTCAGTTTATATTATTCATTTATTCTACTGGACCAGTATAATATATAAGTATTAGGCCTAAAGTCAAACGTCGCTGAACCTAATGCATGCAAATGAGCTCAAAAACAAAGACTTTAATTCATTTGCATTAGATTCAGTGCAAGAAAAGGGCAACGTTTGATCTAGACCATACACGTAGTGATAAAGTAATAATTACTAGAAATATTAAATTATTAAAAATATATAATATTGTTCCCTTTTCTCCTTGCAGATTAAGCAAGCCTCTAGTAACGTGGAGTCTTGGCGAAATATGTCAACAACAAAACTTACTGACAATCGGTAATATATTGTGAACTGTAAGGGGCTGTTTACATGAGCCCGGTTACCCGAGACTCAACGAAGCGTGAGATGATTTTGAGGTATTAAAATGAGCAGATAACATGATCCTGGCAGTCGTATAATCACCACAACAATAGCATGTCCTTGTTCGGTGTCATGAAGACTTATTTCAATACCTCAAAGTCCTCTCACGCTTCGTCGAATCTCGGGAAACCGGGTTCATATAAACAGCCCCTAAAGCAATCGGTGTGATTTGTTAGGTCATGCATGCAGTACCTTTTAGTTTTTCTTAGTTTTGAGGAGAAATACCCTATTTTAACCTTGAACACGATGCTTCAGCAGAGGAATCGCGACATTTCCTCAACGCATATATACATATAGCCATCCCAGCAAGAGATTTTTAACGCGAGGAAGGGGCCCAGAGCTTGACAAGTGGAAATGTTCAGCTGCTTTTTATATTAATATTGTTATTTTTAGTGTTGTGGTTCGGCCATGGGTACTCCTTACTCACATCAATATGAGTCACAATAATATTTCAACATTGGATCATTCTTTGAAACTATTGCCATCTTTGGAGCAGGTGAGATCAACAAGTCCACCATATGCGATTTCCTATCCATCAATGACTTGCCTCTACGCTCTTTACCATCCCTTCTCAAGAATAACTTTCTCAAATGTTTTTTCTGAAAATTGAATAGTGTTTTAATATCTGTTTTAGTTGGACTTAAGCCACAACGAGTTTGTCCACTTGGATTTGGAACAATTAACGTCATCCACGTTAACATTTCTTAACTTGAGTTACAATCAGATTCATTATGTATCAGCCACTTCAAGGGTACGTGACTTTTCATGACTAAATGGGGGTTACTGTTGAGATCAGGAAGCATTGGGGGTGACGATTCATGTAAATGGCTTTTTCCTGCTGTGCATGCTTTTTTTTTCGCGAACTTCTAAAGTGTATTCCCTATTCCATGCATTGCTTGCTTGTTTACAAATTACCTTGGCCGTACGTTTTTTTTTTCACATTGAATAACTTGCAGATCGACAAGACAATCTGATAGTTTAAACGTCCCACTTTTTCGAAGCGCAAGTGGTCAGAAATCATTTCAGTATCGTATAGTAAAACTTTGGAATGATTTACCTCCGTACCTTAAGTTATGTGATAGCATAAGTAGTTTTAAAGTTAATTTGAGAAAAAACTCTGCTGAGTGAATTTATATATAGAGAGATGGATTTTCGATGGATTTTCGATGAACATTGATATGACTTTTATAAATTTTAATATGGTATTCAACATTTATGAGAAAAGAGTTCATGAGACTATCGCAGTACTAGATTTTATAACTATTCAGAGGAAAATAGTATTTTATTTTATGTAAATTGATTCTGAAAAGCCCCTGTGGGGGGTGATGAATAAAAACCTCATCATGATCATCATCAATGTTGCTTTTCTTGACAGGATCTTCGCAACCTGAAGTCACTACTTCTTACAAACAATAAATTACAAAATCTTGATGGTTAGTGCATTATTATTATTATTATTATTCAGAAAAGTGTTATGAAACATATCGTCCAAGTTCCAAATTATGTACTTTTGATCGGGTTCTTCAACATACTGTATACAACGCGGACGTTTGTATGAACCTTCATATTGTATGAAAACTAACTACATTTGGAGTTTGAATCATATATTAATCTTAGAAATGCACGAAGCTAATTGGTTATAAGCTGCATGTGTACCTTCTCTGAAGAGTCAACTACTTTTTTAAACCGGTCCGATGCCGACTGAACAATCAGGGTTATTGCATGTTGTTCTTGACTACTAGAGCAAACGTAATTGGATGTGCTTAAATATGTTAACTAACTGCATCAGTTCGATAATAGTTCAGATCAGTTCAGTAAAATATTTATGTTTTATTTCGAGAGATAAACGTTATTTTAAGCAAACGTCTGTTATTATCAAGTTAGAATTTTTAACGCATGCATTTGTCCAATATTTTTCATGAAATTTTCCTGTTTCTTGAAGGTATTGAATGTTTGCGAGGATTGGTAGAACTTGATGTAAGGCATAACGATGTTAAAGCGATTGAAGAACTGGTGAAGATATCATCCTTACTGCACTTGCGAATACTGGCTTTAACAGGTATACTCAGCGAGCTGAGCCTTATTTTCCTCTTTTCTTCCGACAGCTAGCCTATATTAAAGGCTAATTTCCACTCAGGAAAATTATCTTTTAGATCGGACGGGACAAGAAAGCTTCCTTTGTATAAACGCCGCCTGAGAACTCACCGACAGAGGAAATTTTCCTGAGTGTCCGTCTCGATCCAAAGGAGATTCTTCCTGAGTGGAAACTTGCCTTAAGTATTTTGTTTGGGAATCGTATCTCAAACGTTGCGTTTTGTGATTAGAAAGACCCCCAAACAACGACTCGGAATTCATTTTGGTGCACTGGCGTAGGAAGGGGGGGGCACGTGCCCCCCCAAGATTTTTCAAGGGACCAAAAGTGCCCTTTTTGTGAAAAAAAAGCCTTTTTGGAAAGCGAAAAGAAAGAAAAAAGTATCTACTATTTCCCAATAATCCTTAAATTGAGAGGGATTTGCGGCCATTTCAGAGGCATATATCTCAAAATTTTCTCGGGGGAGCATGGACCCCCTAGCAGTACGAAGCCCAGGAAATACGAAAAATGCTATGCGGTCGGCGGTCCCTGAATCAAACCGTCCCTATATATATATTTTTATTAACCATTTTAACCGTCATTTTTATTAACCAAAAGTGCCCCTAGAAGCTGGTGCCCCCCCAACCTCTGGATGCTTCTTACGCCCTTGTTTTGGTGTAGCTGCTATGTACAACAGTATGCAGTAATAAAATAATTAACACTGCTAGAAATCGTTATCAGAACTCCAATATAGATCATTTCTGTCTTCACCTATCATATGCGTAAGACATTTAAAGAAAGTTTTTCTATAGTTGATAAGTTTTTTCGCTGATTCCTATGCAGACAGTTCGATTAACAAGCTTGACAAACACTTCAACTAGATTTGTCATTTGTTGCTTAAAACTTTGTCAGAATACCCGTTATATAAAATATATCCATTTCTTTATATAGGAAATCCTTGTGTTGCTGCAAAATCGTACAGAATTAAAGTATTTTGCCAACTCAAAGCTAGAGAGGTGAGCTATTTTCTTCCATGAAATCTTGTTACTCAAACTCAGGTTCACTAAACGCCCTTTCGCACGATCCAAGTTTGTTGGATCCAATTCACTTGAACTTGACTTCTACTACAATGTAGTTTTTTAATAACTTAGTATAGTGCTGCATTTGGCTTTAATTGATTTTATGCCCACATACATTGCAAGTCAACAGACTATAAAGCATCCATCAGAAATGAAATGGATCCGACAAAATTGGATCTTGTCAACAGACCTTAAGATTGGCTAAGGAGGAAATTGACCTTTTAATAGACCAGCTTGTGATCTAGGTAACAAGAAATCTAAAATGAAATGATGAAATAAATCACATGCACAACATCTAAAAAGAGCATACCGAAATTAGTATATATTGCCAAGTTTGGCTACAAAATGTCAAGTCGTACGGAAAATATATAGCCCAGCGAAAGCGTGTGACTAAATTAGTTAGTAAAAAGTATACAAAATTACCAACTTCGCATGGCTATATTTTCCGCACTTTACAATATTTCGCAGCCAATCTTGGCAATTTTAGTAACAATAGTATCAACTTTTAGGAGATAATACCTTTTTGTTGCCTAAATCAAAAGATGGTCCATTAGGGCACTAAGTTCAATGGATTGGCTTCAGCTGAATAACGCTAATTTATGATCCTAAGTTGATTTTTTGTTTTATAAATTTAGCTTATATTGGATGGTATCAAAATTACAGAGATTGAAAAGGTAGGTTTGGAAACAGAGATATGAAATCACCCAAGTCTATATAATTTAGATTTGTTATATAGGTGCTGTGTATTTTAAACGTGATTGGTTCATTCATAGTCACGTGACTTTAAATAAATGCAATGTTTCCCGCCATGGAGACAAGTGTAAAATGGTTGCCCCCGCACTTTGTCATAACAAAATAAAGTTTTTAAATGAAATTGTGTAACATGTATGTTTTTGTTCCGATGTAACAAAACACTTAATGTACACTACCTCTGGAAATAGTGAGTTTTGTTTTCCCTCAATGTTTCATCAACATTCAGACTCCTGGGAAAACAAAACTCACTATTTCCCTCGGGAGCATACATTAAGTGTATATTATTCAAGACATTTTTATCTTATTTTTTGTATAGGCGAAAGTTAATCTTTTTCAAGGTCGTAAAATATCAAACACTGATTCTGGACATACTCCCAAGCACAATCTGTCATCTGTTCCCCAAACACAAGTGAATCAAGATATGAAGAAAAATTTCCCGCCATACAGAGATGATGATCAGGATTCGGGTTTTGGCGGGAATTATACCGGAAGTGTTGATGAAGGGGGCTTGGTTTTTGACTGGAGTTGCTATAGCAACCACTTGGATGTCTTACCTGAGACTTTTCAATGTCAAATTCCAGGTCCCAATACATCAAGGTCGATGTTAAGAAGCCCACCACCTTCCATAAGGAGTTCAAGAGGTGAAATAAATCAGAGAAATAATAAAAATGCCGTTTCTAAAAGCGAGAATGACAATAATGTTCTCTTTACTACAAACGATGCAGTATTGAACTCGAAAAGCAGACATGGTACTGAAAATGTTCTTTTAGAGCGTGGAAAACAACCTTTAAACAAACGTAACGTTAAAAGAAATACAAAATTTTCTGTTTCTGCTCCTTCGACGCTCCTGCAAATATCATTGAATGGCAAAACAAGTGAAATAAGTGAGGTTGTGAGCCATGCAAACAAACAGGATATGAATGATGGTATTTGTGATAGGGACAATACAATATCAATTCAAAACAGCACGAAGACTATTCATGATGACGTGGATAATTGTCAGGACAACACGGAAACTTTTAAACACTCCAGCAACACAAGGGATATAGGTCAGTGTCCCTTAAAAGACAATTTAAACCCTGATCAGGATACGGATGCGGAAGTCAGTAAGGGTAACGTCAATCACCATCAGGACAGCGTAAATTCAGTCCACGGTGACTCGGTTTCCATCCAAGACACCACGAACTTAGGCAAAGATAACACAAATTCTATTGTTAAAAACACAGATTTCTCTCAGAACAGCACGAATTTGGCTCATGATAAAACGAATTCAATTGGCGACAAAACGGATCTCTTTCAAGACAGCACGAATTTTGTTCATGATAACACGAATTACATTGTTGACAAGACAGATCCTTCTAAGGACTGCACCAGTGAGTCGAGTTCTCCTTTTTACGAACAACCTCAAACTATCGATTCTACGAACGAAATCAATGAAGTCACCTGATAAATTCACCAAAATCCACACCACGCAGTCCTTCACCTGAATGAAGATTGGGGAAAGAATTTACCAAATGCCATGCACGACTGCGATATATTTTTTTGAATGAAAAAGTTCTTCATAAAATCTTGTGATATTTAACAATTTGCTGAAGGTGATGTAAATGTCGTTGTATAATTACAAAGATGATTGTTTGAATTGTTCAACCGTAAACGAATGTCACCAAAATTTTAAATGAAACGATGTATCATTAGAAATAATATTATGATCATTTTGGGCCATTTTTTTCGCTTCTTTCGTTGTTTCTTCATCTGTCACCAACAAGAAATCACTCGCCGCCATTTTGACAATTCACTCAGGTGATTATCGAATATTCCGAGTTCTTTCAACCAATCAGAGGCCAGAATTTCCAATAATTCACCTTTGTAAATTGTAATTGTACAAAAACGACACACAAACAGCTGCATGAACAAACAAAAAGACCTAATAAAGTAATATGCATGCGATGCTAGAGCAGTTCCAGCATTTGTATTCATTAACAATATTACAAATAATTTATTGAAAATATTAATTTATATATCAAATATAATACACAGCATTTATATATAATTAGTAGTCCACATGCATGTAGTGAATATTGACCTTGATTTGAAGGGATATTTGTGGTATTTTTTCGCATTGCATCGATTGACATAATTTTTAATATATATTACCCCATAAAGAATATTACAATAATTATTGTATTATGCATATGAAATATTATTATTACGAAGGAAATTTGGTCCAAGGTGTTTTACTTTGCCACCTATAATTCACTTTGAAATAAATTTGTGAACCGCTTACAAACGGTGACATGACCAAACAACTGGGGCCATGCACTGAGTTTTATCAAAGCCGTTACGTTAGGAAAGTCAAAATTACATCTCTCTTGAATTAGTCAACTTGCGCAGGGGGGGGGGCGAATCTCGAATAAGGGCACATTTGTTTACTAAGGCAAACAAGCAAAAAATTAGCCCCTGTCTTCAGGGGCGTAGAACCGAGCGGGGGGGGGGCAAAGGGGGCACCATGAGCATATAAAGGGAAGCTGCCCCGTTAGCACAGGGCAGGGGGCGGCTGCCCCCGTGATTCCGGCGCCCCTGCTTTCGCTCGCGCTTGTGAATATTAAATATAACATATCCACCAACAGGCCATAGCGCGAAAACAAAGCTTCGTCGAGTCTTATAAATCTTCACCCGAGTTCACCGCTCGCACGAAAGCTGCTGATTTGAGGTGATAGAGAGCTTAAATTTAGCAGTAACAACGAGTACAGGCTTAAGATTCGTCACTCGCGAGTGCTTACGCGGCCATCAGCCAAAACTCCTAGTCGTTGAGCTTTGAGTACGAAATCTTGCCAACAAACTCGTACCACAGTGTAAACAATAGATACAGAGCTGGAACCGGTGGCGAATAAAGTAATTATAAATATGACGGGTTTTCAGTGCACCCGCTTTTTTAGTGCCCGTGAGCGCAAAGTGACCAACTGCGCATGCTCGGCTTAGTAAGGAAAAGTGTATTTTAAAATATCGTATTCAATTTTCCTTTCACAGTTTGACATTCTTGTCATATATATCTGATGTCATTTTCTACTTTCCCCACAGGCTGGCCTACAAGATCTGCTTTCTCTTTGGGCTTAAAATCAAATCCTAAACGGATATAGACACCTAACATATTTCCTAACGCAATACAAAATGTTTAGCATTAAAAAGAACATTCGCAAGATCTCGAGAGCTTAAACTTTAGTTCCTTTCGACTGCTGCAATATTCAGTGTGGTAACACACTAAGTATATCTGCATTTATAATTCACCGTGATTTCGTTTTCGGTGAATCACGAAGTGCAAAGACCAGCTTGTTTTTAACTATTAAACATTTTTCTGAAATTTATTTCTAAATGACTAAACATTTCAGGATAACTAACAATATTTATAACAATATGAACTGCTGCTGATGTACTAGCTGTTACGGTACGTGACCGTTCATTTGACATGAATAATAAGGAAAAATGTTCAGTTTCAGTATGCGGGCAGTTTTACCTGAATACTGCAGTGAGTTTTAAGCCTTTTTTGACCGACTCGGAAAATTAACGCAACAGACTTGTGACAGATCCACCCGTCATCACAATTTTCGATGTTTCGACCGAAGGACCTTTGTAAGTAGAGTTGGCATTCAAACTATTGAAGCTAACTCAGACGAAGGTCCTTTAGTCTTAGTACGTCGAAAAATCCAAAAGTGTTTTTGCCTATCTTTGGCAGTCGTGAGGAAACTTTTTATGCAAGTCGTTGCTTTTTGGTTATATCTTACACATGCAGATTCACACAATTGACCGCTCACGTGTTCTTAACTCGTATTGAACAAATAGTTTAGAAAATGCTTGGAAACACTCAGTTCGACTTACATTCAGACGAGCTTGTCCACGACTCCACATAAATACGTGGAAAATGGGCAAAAAAAACTCTGTATGAGCATAAAACCTACTGAACAAACCTATTTATAGAAACTTATTTGTATAACTAGTTTTTAAAATTTTTCGGCTCTGCGCAACGGTAGCTAAGAGCTATATCGCCCTTGATCCCACTCTTTAAACAAAGACTTTGTCTTTTTGCCGAGTTGGCACACATACAACTTATGTGTAAATAATTACCCTTACTCTTACAATTATTAATTATTTATATATAACAGGGTTATAATTTATATTTATATTAGGTTATGATCGACAGAAGAAGATGTTTATACGTCTGAACCAATTATCTCAAACTTTAAATGTTCACTGAGCTTCTAGATCGTCAGAATGACTGAATATTAGCTAGCTGAGACTTGTTTACCCGAATCCAATAATTTGCAGGCGTAACAAAAATTTAAAAGATCTTTATACTTTTCATCTTTCATCCTGATACAACTTCATCCGTGTTCAACACCCCTCGTCATCTTTTACTCTCTCCACCAGCCAAAACTGAACTGATTCACAAATTTCCTTGGTGTATTTAAAAGCAAATACACTCCAAAAAATACCAATTAAACTCAACAAGACAGTCAAAAAATATCAACGCAAAATTGTTATGCGGCCGGTTTATTTGATGATACAAAACTATTTCAATTTCAATTGAGAATGTTATAATTTCGAATCGTCGAAAATTATATTTTTCAAAATTTACTTTTAGTACTACTGAAAATTATGTCTCTTTTGAAAATAATAACCTAAAATAGGGTCAAAATATCACCATATAATCGGGTGAAGAGAGCTTTAGTTAATAATTTTTGATAATTTATTTTAACCCAACGTTTTCCAACAGAAATCCCAGCTTTTCATTTTGGGGTGCGTGTTTTAATCAAGAGTCACGTTCTAATACGTATTATTTCGGGAAAAAAGTACATTGAGTGAGCCAAAATTGAAAATGTAGCACTCGAGTATTTTCCTGATTGCTAATTGTAATTCCTGTAGGAGTTGAATTTCTTTGTATTCTTACGAAGTTAAGAAGCATTCGATCTAATATTGCTCCTCCCCTCCTTACCTCAATATTGTTCGCTCAAAAAATATTGATAGCTTTATCAGTTTTGGAACCAATCAAACTGCATTATTTAGTCACGTGTCATCATATCTCAACACACTGGGCAATGCACCTGGGGTGTTCAAGTACTGTGTTGTCGCGAGAATAAACGAACTATGAGCAAGAATTTCGTGTATCAAATCATTTTTAGAAATCTCAGATGTCTATAAAGGATTGGAAGACATAATATGAAGCTCTTTGCTTTTATAGCTTTACTTCTATTTGGTCTAAATGGAGTTTTTGGTAAGGATTATTACAGAATTCGTTGTGGCGTGTGAAGCGCTGTTGTCTCGTTCATATGTTCACTGATCAAGAAATTGCTACTTATCATTGAGGAATATTTTGCTTTCACTATTCCAAGTACATGGATTATTACATAATTGAAATGTTGGAAATGCTTGGAGAGTAAAATTGAGGATATATCACACGATCTTACGGGGATATATGGACATATATTTCATATCTGAATGGACAATTATCGTGTATAATTTTCTTGCATGGGTTAACGCGCCGTTTCGCTCGCAAAGTGCTGTATACTATGGTGTTTGTTGGGGCCATATTTCTGATTTATCCGAGCATAGACAACGCTTGCCTCGAATTGTGGTCGCTTGATAACATTTCAGCGGTCCTTACAGTGGCATTTTCAAGAAATCGTGCGGGAATTATATGTTTGGTTTATCGCGTGAAGCAAAGCAAAACGCGAGTATTATGTGTCATATTCATGCTTTGTTGGCGCAATTTGTGCTGTACATTACAAGCTCTTGTTCCATCTTCATGCCAATGTCGCAATTATTTGCTAAACGTGTTCTTAAAGCGATGAAGATATATATTATTATTATTTAAGACGCTCTGATCCAATGCCCAGTTAAGGCCACAAAACACAACAAGCTTGACGATTATATTTGTTGTGAAGCGTATTTCACATCTGGACCGCTTTGCGTGATATTTAGCCACATAGAAGCGGTGATTTTTCGACCTGTTTATAGCAGCATGTAAACTTGATTGACTTTTGGTTAGATTTTTTGCGTTCGGAAAGCGAATGGGGGATAAAAACATCTATAGTTGCCTCTCATTATGGACATTCATTTATAAAGGCATTGTAGTCAAGTAAATGTTTATTTACATATCATTTGACTTGATTAGAAGCTAGATTCAAGCTTTACTCAATTTTCATCTTAGTTTAAAATAAGCTTTACATGCATGCTGTTAAACAAGAGACATTATATTTAGTCTAGAGATCGCTCAAATGTTTTGTGACTGATTGTTTGTACAGATCCGTATCTTACAAAAATATTCATCCATGCAGCTGTGTAGCAAAATGCGAAGAGTATTATGTTTCGCTCGTTGTCGGGTTATAAGGCTAAAATACTCCGGCAAGTGCTAATCAACCAAATATTACTTGTTTTCTTTGCTTTTTTTAGTTGAACCGCTCAGGCTTTTATACTCGGAGAGACGGAACATTCGTTTGCTGCATGTGGAAGGAGATCTACGTGGTCAAAACAATTTAACTACCACAGTACTTGCAGATAACTTACAGGATGCTATAGCCGTCGCATTTCATTATAAAGATCAAATTTTATTCTGGACTGATGTCTCCCTCGGAAAAATATTACGGAAATCTTTAAAGGGAGACGGTCGCATTGAAACTGTCGTCTCCGTTGATTTAGTAAGACCCGAAGGAATTGCAATTGATTGGGTCACAAAGAAAATTTATTGGACTGACTCGCACTCGAAATTAATCGAAGTTGTGAATTTGGATGGAACGCAACGTTCTGTGCTATTTTGGAACAACTTAGACCAACCAAGGGCGATTGTTGTTGATCCCATCCATGGGTATGTTACATTTTTTTTGTACCGGATTCCAATATATTTGGCTGGGTTTCAACCTGCAGATTATCTCAAAGGGTCGTCGAATGGAATTTCTTCATGAAACCTGAGATATTGCAGATTCTAGCCAAAGTTTGCCATCAATGTTACATATGTCTATACATTCGATTTTTTTACAATTTCACTAGAAAGTTGATCTAATTGGATTTTCGAAGCCATTAAAAATCCATTAGAATTTGCATGATCGAACATAAATATATTGGTTAAGAAATGGTTGGAATTATAAGCAAGCTTCCAGACTTTAAGTGTAAAATAATTCATTTTATAGCCTAGAACCCATGCTGTTTTGTATATATTGTTAATAGTAAGCCATTTCGCAATGTTTTTTTTTCAATTCACAAAGTACTGTTGTCGAAATATGAATATATAGGAATATTGGTGTGTTCGAAGTTTAATATAAAGATAATGCCCTGTGAGGGAGGTCATCCAGCGTGTTTCTCACAGTTGGAAATACTGTATAAGGACTGTAGTATATCCATTGCGGCGGTATCTTTTAGAATTAATTCTATTTATCATGCAAGGAGAAACAGCTTTAGTTTACACAATGATATCTGAAACTATTTATTTTTGTACGACGCGTAACTCCGGTAAATATTCTGGTATTTTTAAATAGTAACAAAATATACCCTTGTGTGGAATATTCCATGCAATTAAAGATCAATATCACTGAAAGCTTCTATGCAGTAAGAACGTTTTATGCAGTTTTATTTATTTAGTTAAGGAATTTGGTGCTAATTATTCTCCTTTTAACGGAAGCTTAATTGTTTGCGACGTAAGCTTGGCGCTATCGCATTATGCGCTGGTGGTTTGAGCAAGCCTATGGCAAAGTGAAAGAAAACTTTAGCTAAACGTGTTTTGTGACATTTTAAAGTGTGTATTGTTCGCGCTCGATCTATTTTCTACGGTTATGTTAGTTTTCTGGCAGTCAGTTGGGGTGAACTCCTGCTGTAAGCCCCAGTTCCGGACTAGCAATTGCCAAATGGAGTTTCAAAATTACATGTGGTGCCATTGAATATAAATATGTTCACTCCTAAAACACTTTCTAAAAAAATACGTTGTTTGGTTTGTGTTATTCATATCCTCTAAGGAGGTATCTACATGAATGTACACATCAACCATTGATTGATTCTAATAAAAAATGTAGTCATTCAAATTAAATTTTATTATTTGAATAAAAATATATACACACATGCAGTGCAATATAGTGTAAAGCCTTTCTGCTTTTGTAATAAATCACACTTGAACCATTTCATTCCTGTCCATGAAATTTATATATGTGAAACATATTAGGCTTTCATACATGTAGTATTAATGTCTGAATAAAGAGATGGTCATTATTGTGCATTCATGTTATTTCTGTGCTTCTAAGCATTTTAAAAAGAAATTTTACCTAAACTATGAAATTTAATCACTCATTGTAATATATGGTCTATCTGCAACAAGTAGTTTGGTGTCTGAGTGGTATTATGTGCATAAAAATGCACACCACTTGTATTATTTTTTGAAATTCCAAACATACTATATTGTGTGATGCATGTTTTGCATTTTTAGTTCAAACATTCATGTTTTGTGAGTTTGTCCTGTAATGAAGTAGAAACAAAAGTTGAATATAATCAATTGAGTGCAAGAGTATATTGTAACCTATTAATTGAGTTATTAGTGGCAAAAGACATTTGCCCTAAAGCATCCTAACCAAAAAAATGTAGTAATAGCATTATTATTTTCTGAAAAATGCTGTAAATATTGGAAACATGTTTTAATCTGCCTAACACCATATTTTGAACCCAGTGGTCTCTAGTAAAGCTTTCATAGGATTTCCTGTATTGTATTTCTTAATTTTAATACCTTGACAAATTAATTGTTGAACTGCATAATCATAATTTGTCTATCATCCTATACCTCAAACACTTTTGTCTGCAGTAATTTAATACCTCCACTGAAAAGTGTAGCCTGACATTTGATTAATGAAAATGCATTAGGGAAATTTATGTAGGAGTGTGGGATATCTGTGGGAGTATGATATTTGCTGCCAAATCAATGCCTAGCTCAAATCATCCATTGCCATTGGTAAACACTGTGTGTCAGCAACTGTTAAATGTTGACATTGTATTTTAGGTACATGTTTTGGTCTGATTGGGGTGAGAAACCCAGAATTGTGCGAGCGTCAATGGATGGTTTAGGCCGAAGGGATCTGATCACTGAGGACATCAAGTGGCCGAATGGTTTAGCTGTTGATTACAAAGACCCTAGATTATTTTGGCTTGATGCCCACAAGGACTTCAGTCGACTTGAAAGCTCAAATCTTGATGGAAAGAATAGAAAGAAATTAATTGGCAGTTCTTTGCCACATCCATTTTCAATTACTATATATCGTGATAGAGTATATTGGACAGACTGGGAGAGAATGTCCATTGAATCTTGCAACAAAAAAACCGGGCATGAAAAGTGGCTTGTTAAAGATAAAATAAAACATTTAATGGATCTTCGAGCTTTTGAAGCTGAAAGACAACCAAGCGGTATGATTTTAACAATTATTGGCAATAATACATAGCATGTATGGAATAAATATATTCCATATTTTTTCTTTTATTTAGTACCAAACCCATGTGCTGAGAATAATGGTGGTTGTAGTCACTTGTGTTTACTGGCTGCAGGTGGGAATTATTCCTGCGCATGTCCAACTGGGATTGTTCTCTTGGATAATAATAAAACATGTGAAGATGGTAAGAAAATACCTTGGCTTATGAATATAGGGAACTATAAATTTTCCCATCTTTACACCTATGTGTCAGTTTGGTGTTTGATAAGGTGTAAAGAGGGGAAATTTATTACTACAGTTCAGACTCTATTGTATTTTTTGTCTTTTTGCTAGGACCACAAAATTTTGTGATTGTTGCCAGAACGACGGAATTAAGATTGATCTCACTAGATACACTGGATCACACCGCAATAGCACTGCCTATCCATAATATGCGCCATGTTATTGTCATTGAGTTTGATCCAGTAGAGAGATTTGTTTACTGGACTGATCAACAGTTACATCTCATCAAGAGGGCTAAACTCAATGGCTCAGGTACAATAAGATAATTTATATTCTGTATAATTTATGCAAATGCACTAAACCTTGGCGACCATCATTGAGGTGAATGTGTTTAGTAAAGGTCGTAATAAAATGATGCGACCATGCCACTGAGATGAATGAGTTTAGTAAAAGTCATAATAAAAATGATTACCCAGGAAATTAGCTCATTAGTCCTTGACTTATGACTTATGCTCATCTCATACTCACACTCATACTCATACTGGGCCGAAAGTAGTCTTGTAGGCCTTGTATCCACGCCATTACAAACTACAATAAGGGAACTGGGAACACTACAATTTCAGCAGCAAGTTAGACTTCCTTCCAGTCTTGAGTCTTACTAAATCAATCTTTTAAAAAAACCTTCAGTCTCTGGCTAGAGACAATTCACTGAGACTAAGTTGTGTATTTGAATTTTCGTGTGTAGAAGAACAAACCGTCGTTCAAGCAGAGGTGAAATTCCCAGAAGGAATTGCTGTGGACTGGATTGGCCGTAATCTTTACTGGAGTGACACTGGTACTGACCGTATGAAGTTAGTCATTTGAATGGTTCTTCAAGGAGAGTCCTTGTGTCTGAAAAACTTGATGAACCTCGAGCCATTGTCGTCGATCCAGGAGAAGGGTAATTATTGCATTTTAGTTGGCAGATATTGGTACCCCCCCCCTGCCAGTGGTTGATTCCAGTAAGGGCGCAATATATCGCTACCCGTGATGAGTTTGTTGTACGAAGGCCAGATATACCGTTACCCACCAGGGATTAGTTGTACCAGGGTTGTACGAAGGGCAGATTATATCGTTACGCACCAGGGGCTGTGCGGGTTGATAGTACGAACGGCAGATTATATCCTTGGCCACCGGGGGTTGGTTGTACGAAGGCATATTATATCGTTACGCACCAGGGGTTGGTTGTACGAAGGGCAGATTATATCGTTACGCACCAGGGGTTATCCGGGTTAATTGTACGAAGAGCGGATTATATCCTTACCCACCAGAGGTTGATAGTACGAAGGGCAGATTGTATCCTTACGCACCAGGGGTTGGTTGTACAAACGGCAGATTATATCCTTACCCACTAAGGTACAGATATCCACCAGGGTGGTTGTTCAAAACCTACAAGATGTTCGAAGGCTCGTTGTAAATCGTTACTCGCCGGTGTTCGGTCTTTCGAAAGGCAGATTTATTGTTATCACCAGGACTTGCAATGACGCGGTCCTTTTTTCTACGCATGTCACGATCGTATTTTCTACTGTATTTTTAGCTACATGTACTGGTCAGACTGGGGATCTCGTCCTAAACTGGAACGTGCATGGCTCGATGGTACTCATCGTGAGGTCCTTGTCAATACTTCCATTGAGTGGCCTAATGGTCTTGCTCTGGACTACTTGGAACGTAGAGTATACTGGGCGGATGCTAAACTTGATAAAATTGAAGTTTGTAATTTAAATGGTAGTGGCAGGCGTGTGGTACTGGATACAGATGTGCCCCATATTTATGGCTTTGGTTTGATTGGCAAGCATCTTTACTGGACTGATTGGCAAAGACGTAATCTTCAGAAGATTAATGTTGATAGCTCACATAGCAAGGACATTATTGTCGAGTTATTACCAGCTGTAATGGGTCTAAAGGTTGTGGATATGAAACTCAAATATGGTATGTATAAATAAAACAGCCTGTTGAAGTTGACATGCATAATATGTTTCGTGGACAGCGGCCGTAATGAGCCCGGCGAAAAATCTCATAAGACAGATATAGATTGAGGACGGGAACGTTATGTATTAGATAACATGAAAATGTGGATAAAATGGTTTGACGTTTTCAATTTCTGAAATGCGAAATAACGCGTTTTATGCAATCTGGACGTTTAGGAATTGTCAATCTGGAGACTTGAGTTAAAATACTGTATTTCAAGAATGAACAACATATTCATCTGTTTGTTCAACATTCCGCCCTCAATTTCCTAATTCTTAGAATCTTTGAAAGTTTCAGAGTGTCGCAGTTTTCTCATTGACCAATTATTTCCAGGAGGAATGCAAAATTTCTTCGAACCTCTCGCATCCATAAAAAAATCCGTCCATGAGCAAACTATTGATGAGAATGGCAAATTCTTCTCATTTTCGTGCTTTATAAAAGTACAGTAGATGCTCATTCATGATGTTTTTGATGTTTAGGAGGTAATGAGAGGTAATGATTGCCAGAAGAATAATGGAAATTGTTCTCATTTGTGTCTCTACACGCCGATTGGAGTCCAATGTGAATGTCCCATGGGATTAGAACTTACTAAAGATAATAAGACATGCGTTGGTAAGTTATTTAGAATCCACAATGTCAAAGTAAATGAGCTTGTAGGCACACCACGAAAGTACTGCAAAGCTCCCGATCTGTTAACGCGGGCCTTCATCAAACACATTTACACGTCACGTGAATATCACGAAAGCTTTGCAGCATTAACTACCTACGTGTGTACCTACAAGCTAATATACTTATTTGATGTCACCTTGCAAACTTACAAAAATATTAATGTTAATTCTTCTCGTGAAGTACTTACTGTACATGTTGACATATACCCATAGTTGCTACTGAACTTTCTTCTACCATTTAACTGTATTTATTTTAGATTCGGTAAAGTAATTCTTGTTTCTATTTTGTATTTAGTTCCGGAAGCGTTCCTTCTATTTTCTCGCCTGAAAAGTATTCGTCGCATATCAATTGACACGACCAATGGCGACAAACCAATACCCATACCTGGCATTATTGACGCGAATGCGGTCGATTTTCACATCAACTACAGCAGGATATTCTGGACCGACATGGAATCAAATAAAATAAATCGAGCATTTTTAAATGGCAGTCAATCGGAGGTGGTTGTGGATGTTGGCATATCATATCCCGATGGTTTAGCTGTTGATTGGGTGGCAGACAACATCTACTGGACGGATACGTTCTTTGCGCGAATCGAATGCGCGCGACTAGATGGAGCGCACAGAAAAACATTGATTTGGAAGAATTTGACTGAACCGCATTCGTTAGCGTTAGACCCTGGCAATGGGTAAGTCGCGGTAATTGTTGATAATTCTATGCACAAGTGTCAATCGTCTGGTATGCATTTTTTCGTTGACATGAAACGGTTTTTGGTGCATTCTCCGTAAAGGTAGATTAAAATATACATTTGTATCGAAAGGATTGATTCAAACTGAAATTCCTTTGCTTGTAAAGTATGTGCCTTTAAATCACGCCAAGTATATCTGAGCGCCGCACAAAGCATTTTTCGTTTCCTAGTTAACGATTTGTTTCCACTGATGCAGGGAGAAAGCCCTTTAACGGAGTCCGAGATTAAAAAAATCCATCGATCGTAAATCTTACCTTTTATCAAACGATATATCAATTATATTGCGATTGGGTGGGTGGCAGATAGCATCTGTGTACGGTTTTGGAGAAGATACATAATTGCCAAACTAAGAACCTTCGAAAAATTTTACTTTAACTAAAATTTAATTAATTAGATTTTATCGAATCCGCTCACACAAGTTTTTATATAGTTAAGACGCGAAAAAATATAGTCCTGAAATCATCCTGCATGCCGTTACTAAAATTCATTAAAATTTTATGTAGACACATGTATTGGACAGAATGGCTACAGTCATCTTCTGCGGCTGCCATACTTCGTGCAAATATGGATGGAAGTAATATGACTATCCTTATCACCAATCGTACTGACATGGCTCGGCCGAAAGCGTTGGTCATCGATTTCTTTGAGAATATGATTTATTGGACAGAAGAACATCACAATCATATTTTACGGGCAAGAATTGATGGTTCTGGTCTTGAGAAGGTTGTTCATCATTATCTTCCGCATCCCAACTGTTTAACACAATATAAAGACTTCATTTACTGGGGAGACCAACAGGAAGGCACCATTACCAGAGCTAGTAAATATAACGGCGGAAACCGAACTACCATCGAGGGTAATGTAGAGTACATAATGGATATGAAGGTATTTCATGATAGTCGGCAGGTTGGTTGGAATGATTGTGGAAATGAAAATGGCGGATGTAGCCATCTTTGTTTGGCTGTATCAAATGGAAAATACACCTGCGCATGCCCAAACCATTACACATTGGATGAAAAGAACAAAAAAACGTGTATCAGTAAGTATTGAAGATGTTTATTTTGATATACTTGTTTATAATGGTGGTCTGCATGATCAGTTACTTTTACCTTTTGAAATTTGAGGCTTTAACATTTTGACTTCTCAGTTACAGTTAGCTATTACTAACAGCGCCAATCAAAGCTATTTATCTTACATAAAAACAACTTTACAAACCTTCATCCAAACTGTTTTTTCAGTCAATGTTTATAAACAATTGTAATGATGAAAATCTTCTCACTCTAGGTCCTCAGCTTTTTCTACTCTACAGCGATGGTAATACAATACGCAGACAAACTATAGATCACGTCGACAATTTTGACGTTTACCTCCCGTTAAATATACAACATAAAGTACGTGCGTTGGAGTACGACCCAAGGACTGACATGGTATACTGGATATCAGTATATGATGATCACGCGTCAATTTACAGAAGTTCTCCAAATGGTTCACATGCAGAGAAAATTCCCACCTCGAGTAATGACGAAGTATTGACTTCGCCACTGGACATTGCTTTAGATCCGTATGGTAAACAGTTGTACTGGACGGATGATATTTCGAAATCAATCAAAGTCACCAGTCTAACGAGTGGTGCCATTGGTACAATAGTAGACGATGAAGAAAGTAATCCAAAGTCTATTGCCTTGGATCCGAAAAGAGGGTGAGCCAGTGAAATTGTCTTGAACGAGTTTTGCGAGTCTCCTGTAATAATGTGAATAATTTATGTTACACCATTTTAGGGCCTGTTCATACAAGACAGGCCAGGCCAGCTCGGCAGTGCTGAGATATCGCTTCACATATTATTTCACTATATTTGTAAAATTGCATTCATATGGAACCGGGCCAGCCCTGATCTCGCGAGATCCCGTCTGAACGGACGGGCTCATATAAAAACATCAAGCGGGGGGCAGCAAAAGCGAGCCAGCCCTCACCCGTCTCATATAAACAGGCGCTCTGAATCATGCGATTCTGCTGATAATTCCCCAAGAAGAGACATACTACAGTAAGGATGTTTTAAAAAAGAAAAACAAGTGATTGAACATGTCGATAATTTTTGCATTCCGACAAGCGAACATTTTGGCATTCATCTAACGCTGCTGATTTTTCTAGATATATGTATTGGACAAACTTCACAGATAAAACAGCAAGCATCGAGAGAGCAAGAATAGACGGTGTTCGAGATCCTGACAAGCCTCTTTATATTAAAGATCGTAACAAAGTTCAACTTGAAGCTCTGGTTGTTGATCCTAATGGGGAGTATCTTTTTTTTGTCGAAGAGATAAAACAGAAGTTCATCAGACTTTCTTTGAAAGGTATGTTTGTGTGTATGTGACCTTTATTTAAAATCTGATCGACGATAGCCTGATCAGCATTTCCTGTTTTCCATGAGAGGCGTCGATATACATTCAAAGAAATAACTATTTATAGACAATAACATGAAATAACAAAGTTAAATACAAAGTTAATAGAAAATATGTACATTAAATTTTTTCGGCGTGACCCTATTTAATTATAGCCATTGGAGTTTTATAATTACTGCACTGCTTCACACTCTGGGATTTTCCAAGTCATATTTATACCTGCGTATTGTGTGATTAAAATACGTTGTGAATACGCAGCCGTTATTTACGTCGGATGTTGAGCACTGCAGTACCCGCAGGCTTGTTTGTAAGGAGCTAGCGCATGATATGCTAAACTATCGTATACTGTTATTGTATTTGAGCTATATTGACCACGTGGCGATACAAGCATTCCTAATTTGTTTGAAAACAAACTTTCGTAGATTTAACGGAAGAAGAGCTTGACGTGAGCAATCTAATAAAAGTGCACAGTCTTGCGGTGTATGCAAATTTCTTATACTGGGTGGATTCAGGTTCTGGTAAACTGAAACGTGTGAATAAGATGACTGGTCAAGATCAAGAACTTATTCAAGGCGGCATTAAGGAACCTGTTGATGTTATGGTTGTTGATAAATATTCGTTCGATGGTAGGTTTGCGGGACTCGATAAAGCCTTTGAACTTTGTTCTTTTTTGACTGTGTACATGTCACGCGATCATCTACGATGTATCACGATCATCTACGATGTATCACGATCATCTACGATGTATCACGATCATCTACGATGGTTATTGTCTCTGATCAATGACACACAAGTACTTTGTTATTTTCGATAAATTCGTCGCCTACAGTACATGCATGGCTGAATGCAAGGGACATATGAGAACAAGGCTTGCTTGGTGCACATACAATCTGACAGGAAAAGCGGCCGATGATACCATTTATAAGTTTGTTTTGATCTATTGTGTATAAAGATAGATATGTGGATAATTCGATCAGAAAAGCTTGCCCATTAGTGCATGATTTTATACAAAGTGATAACCTTCCCCTCCCCACCCACTACACTATATTTTCTGGTCTATTAAGCCAAACTATAAACATCTTTCTCCCTTCAATTTAGACAATCATCCATGTTTGAAGAGCAAGAGTGTTTGCAGTAATCTTTGTTTTGCAAGTCAAGATAAACCTGTCTGTTCTTGTCCGAAGTATTTAGTGCTCGGAGAAAACAAACGAACATGCCAATGTGAGTGTACTTTGACGCAGTAAGACTAAGAGGACGCTTTTTATAGCTAGGTCGCGTATTTTGGTGTTCACTGCATATTTCAGGATTGTTTAAGATTGTTTTGTTAGTTATATTACGTTGAATGATGGATGAAATATCAATAACACCTTGTTTTCAAGTCAAAATTTTTTCGTGCGAGATATTTTCTTGTGTATTTCTTCGGCGGTTTTTGAACGACATTTGACTAACTGTTCGTTATTGGTTTATTCTAGTTCCCCCAACGTGTGGTCCAAATCAGTTCAGTTGTAAGAATGGTGAGTGTGTACATATGGCGTGGAGATGTGATGGTGCACATGAGTGCGAGGACCAATCTGATGAGATGAATTGTCCTCCATGTAAAAAAGATGAATTTCAGTGTAAAAATAAACAATGTGTCCCATTAAAAAACCGATGTGATGGCGCACCAAGATGTAACGATGAATCTGATTCGTGCGGTAAGTTCCGTTCTTCAATATACCGTCTTTATAACAGCTAGTAAACTTTTAATAGTAAATCTATAACGAATTTTCCTGACTGAAAGAGTTTATATTGATTAGGTGGTCCAACGTTGTACTGTCATTATGATTTGAGCCCGAATGATGAAAACGAATGTTATCCATATGAAATCCCCATCTATTTTTGACCATGCAGTAGCTTATAAATACACCTTGCACTAGCTATCATTAAGATTTCTAAAGGAGCTTGAAACAACCAATGTTTCATCGTTATACCCAGTTACATATAGAAATCTTGTATTATATCATTTCAATTTCTGATGCTTACTGATTCAACCGGGATATTTTGTTATTGTTAGGCTTGAACTGTGCGGAAGGTAGCTTTGTCTGTTCCGACGGGAAATGTCTTCCTCCTACGTGGAAATGCGATGGTTTGGAAGATTGCTCTGATGGCAAGGATGAAGATGCTAAAGCATGTGCTAATGCCAACAATGGAGCCAGTAACAATGGTAATTATTCGTTCCTTCATATTCTAAATATACTCTATTTATCTTCAAGAGTTTAATTTAATTTGTACTAAAGATAGAAAACGTTACGTGGTTTATCGTAGTTTATGTATCCGTTATAGCTCCTCTCCCAACCGTTTTCAACCGTTGTAAAAGTGCTTTAAAAAGCAATGGAACTACGGAACTACGCTCCACAGCCAATAATTAGCAATAAATTCGGATTGAAAATTCTCTGTTTAATCTGGGCTAAAAGAAATCACCTGTGATTTTGAGCGATTTAGAAAACCATGCACCATCCCAATGAGCAGATGGTGCATGGTTTTAGATGGTTGAAAAGTTTTTAGGCGGTCTGATCTTGGTAGGTTTCCTAATGCAATGTTCGTTTTTTTGTTCAATTTAGGCACCAGGCTTCCTACACAGAGTAGAGATATGAGTGGATCTTCTCATCGTGATAAGATTGTGATCGTGTTCACTTGTGTCGCCGCCATTATCTTCGTTTTGATAATATTGTTTTTCTTAAAACGAGCCAAACTAAAGCAGGAAAACCCGTATATGCCACCGCTAGTCCAAACAACAACCTGTCATGAGTCATCGTATAACGGAGATTCTGATGGCACTCATTGTTACTCAAAAAGATTAAATGTTACAGTTAACGCTTCGATATCTTTGACCAGTAACCCCACGGACACCGGAGATACCTTCTATAACCGTGATAATCTTACTGGTCAATCTCAGTCGGCAATTGGTCAAACTTACCAGCATTCACTTTCAAATCCTCCACCATCACCAGTGACAGATCGTTCACATTTCACATCTGTCTCAGGGAAGTACTACAATACTCCTTCACCGTCAACATGTGAACTACACATGTATCATAGACCTTCTATGCCGAACTATACCACACCAGCAACGACAGATGTTGAATCATCTGTTTCAAAATATATCAATTATGAACGTAAACAGACCTCTAGTGCATATTCGTCAGTCTCTGATGAAGACTTTGAACTCGAAGAGGATCTTTATGCTCCTCCTCCCACTATATGCACGAACTATTTCTCAGAGGGGTTACACTTCTCGGATGATGGAGGTCCCCCACCATCCCCGAGCAGTGAGGTGGGGTTCATACATGAACCGGATCCTCCACCGCCATCACCCGTTACAGATAGTCCCTCAATGGCGTAGCCTTAATTTATACGAGGAGATAACGGATGGAAGAAGGTCGTCAAGAGACTGGTAACAGAAGCTCCAGAGATAGTATAGTGTCAAATCAACATCTAAAGATGTTTGCTGAGTTGCCGTGGGGCGTGGATCCAAGTTGACCGCATAACAGAGTCCGAAGTCAATATATTGAATATTTTAATATGAAAGATAACTTGTATATAAGTAAGAATATGTATATATAACCTTTACAGATTAACGTGTAGAAATCTGTATTTTTATCATTTTTATATAGAAAACTACACTAGGTTCGTGCTACGAGCCCAGACCAGATATAATATATATATATATAGATATATGAAATAGACATACATATAGAGGAAGTATATACTTAAAATTGTGTATATTTTGGAATAAGAAATTTTATACATATTTTGCTGATGAGAAATTGATTTGAGCGTAAAATGAGTGTGTGTGCGCCAACGGATAAACGACCACGCCATCCAGGTAGGTACAGTGGCGTAACGCCACCGCTGGGGGGGGCGTCCAACAGCCATTTGTGCCCCCCCCCTCCTTTGCTCCACTAAACTTGGCTGAATGCACGACTTACGTCTACAGAATAAATATATATTACTATGCAGAGATCATACGTCTCCAAAAATTCATAATAACACAATATTAATAGGCTGCCTATACCATGTCCGTGGATGGTAATTTTATTTTCCATAAATGTGTTATTAATTTCTATGCTAATTTTGTCGGGGGCACCCATCACTTCACACCCTGACACCCCCAAGTTGAGAAAATGAGATATTTATATTCTGTTCACCTGTAATCAAAATTGATGTTCAGTTTGGTTGATTTATAAAAACTCCAGAAGTTAAAAAGGTCCGGTCCACTGAGAACATTATAAACAGAATGTATGCTCCCGAGGGAAATAGTGAGTTCTGTTTTCCCAAGAGTCTGAATGTTTCCCGAGACGAAGTCGAGGTAAAAATTGAGATTGAGGGAAAACAAAATTCACTATTTCCCGAGGTTGTGTGCATTAAGTGTTTTGTTATATAGGAACAAAAACATACATGTTACACAACAATTTCATTTCAAAAAAACACTTTGTTATGACAATATGCATGCTGGCAACTTTTCGCTTGTTTCCCTGGCGGGAAACATTGCATTTATTTAAAGTCATGTGACTACGAATGAACCAATCACATTTAAATTACACAGCACCTATATAAGAAATAATTCCCAGGCATTAACTCACTGCAAATTGTAGGCGTGGACAAGCAGATTGACTTTGCCTGCTTCCCTGCCAGTACTATCCATATATGCCCATATACATTCTAGATTTACCCAAGAGATACACCCGTCGAAGAGAAAACAAGATTTAATATTAATAAATTTCCTGAGACACCTTTAAAAGATACATCACGTAACCAAACGATGGGGAGCCCTGAAATCTTTTGATGGTTCAAATTCGATTTTAAAAACGTCTGCACATGCGCAGACGGCTTTGCTTTTTGCATGGAGACGGCTTTGCGTTTTAAAAAAAAGTATTTTGAGTGTACATATGCAATTACTAGTACTCAGCGATACAATTAACAGTTTCAAACGTGTAAAGGATGATCTTCACGATGCGATTAGTCATATACGATTCTTATCCTGACGTATGAAAAACGTTGGTGACGCCACAGTCTGTTCAGTCATCAGTTTATAACGAAGTTTAAATTGTGACATCTTTACACGCATTTATTCGACAGTATACGAATCGTGTGCGACTAATTACATCGTGTAGATCGGCCTTAACATACTTAGTGAGCGATGAGTTCATGATCTATAACTAAAACATTATTATAGTTGCGTTGGAGCATTTTTTTATGACAGAAATGATAAGCACCAATCAGAAATAAATTAAATTTTTATTGAAAGATTGAAAAATAAATCTCAAAACTTGACGTTCATGAGGGTAAATGTGTTTTTGGTTCTCCTGAAGCTCGTCTATATTTCAAAACATGTTAGGACGTATTTTCATCGTCATCTTTTTCAAAGAAGAATATGAATTTCCCCAGGTGAACCAGATTATTCCTTTAGTACCAGTCTGACCTGCACCCAGATACAGGCCATTAAGGTTGGATTGAAGACAGCTTTTGTACCACCAAGCTCCTTAAAACAGCCTACCACAACTGAATGGATGGATATCATTGTCATTATCCTTTGTTGTGAACTGCATTTCATTGTGATAAGTAAAAGAATCACCTGCATTACCTTTTATGAATATAATAAGAAAAAATATTCAAAATTTCAAAGCAAAGAGTAGTAATACGTTCAAATTTTCTAAGAACACCATTTTCAATTCTAATACCGTCCTCCGGAAAAATTTGTTGTCTTTTTTATTGAAAACAGCGTTGAAGGACTATCTCATCGGCGATCGTAAAATTTATGTTACACTCAATGAGTGAATGCGAGTGAGCTTTTTTAATACAGGCGTTACTTTTCGTAAACCGACAAACGTCATCGAATATAGTCCTCGTTTTGCCCTTCTGGGGCGGTTGTTCGAAAGGTCTTTAGCTTAAACGATGGAAAAATTCAAAATGGAAAACAAAATTATCTATTTATTGAACAACTGAGCTGAAATATTTCGATGTAAATAGTTTAATTTTCAATGGAGTACATATTAAATGCATACAATGCAGGTTCAGTGATTCACAAGATGTGAGAGTATTTTTAAACTTTGGCTTTGCTGCCGTTTAAGCTAAACGCCTTTCGAACAACCGGCCCCAGGTGTATGAATACGTTTTCTTATGTTAAAGTTTACCTGAGTAATCTCCAACGCTCAATCTGTATTTATCTGATTCATCAGCCACGCTAAACACTCCATATTTGGCATAACCTAGCTTCAACAGTGTTAAATTTAATTTCATCAATTCCAGATTTATTTTATCAAGACCCAACCAGAACTCCCCGTTAAGATCACCAAAGCCTGCTTTATAGTCTGACCATTCTAAAGAAGACAAGATGGTAGTGAAGACTTCTTCCTGGAACACGGTCCAGTCACCCCCGTCTGTGGTCATATCTGACTGATGTTGAACGATCCGAGGCCATCGGGATCAATCGTATAAACACCATCTTCTCTCACTCCTGATTTATAGAGATCAGCACAACGTTTTTTGAACTAAACAAACGGAAAAGGAAACAATATGTCAGAATGGTCATCAAGGCATCAGCATTTACATTACGTTCGGGACATGTAAAGTTAGACGTCGGTCAGAAACGTGCTTAAGTGAACATTAATATTCAGATCATACCAAAGCTGTGTGGATAGGGAAGAAAATTTCCTCTCCTTTTACAGCATATATCGTTTACTTTTTCTAGATTTCTCCTTTATAAACACTACACAAAAAGAAAGTTCCATCTTATATTATACAAGGAGTCCCAAAAAAGTCGCCATTATTGAAATGAAGCTTTTGTCGGAATTTAAATGCATGATCATTGCAGCAGTGTGTAAATAGCAAAGTTATTAGGTTGAGGTATTCAAATAAAGCGTCTTGCTTTCAATTGGGTTTTATTGATAATTTGCTAAATGCCATAAGTAGAATAGGTTAACTCGGTCTTTAAAAAAGGGCTTATCGTCCATTGAATTCAAAACTTCCCAAATTAGCATTTAATAGGGAGCATATTCGTATATTCGTTCTGCCCGACGGATTTCTTTTTTATCTGTCGGCGTATATTTTAGCTTATATTTTTTGAAAATTATCTGCTGGTAAAAGAGCTGGAAAACGTGCTAGCTGGAAAACGTCATGATTGAATATACCAAGAAGCGTGAAGAAGTGTTAGTACTTAGAAGAAGGGCAAGGCCTAAACTTATGTGTTATGAGACACCGCAGAAATTGGTGTTTAAAACGTTTCAACCCGAAAATCTAATCGCTGGTTCACAATTGTGCATTTCTGTATCGCCCTATCAAAGAGAAACCTTTTGAATATCTTAAAAAAGTTCAATTTTTCTTCTGAATACGCATTCTGCAATCTTTTGACAGCTCATCATACACATCTGACCGCTGTGAAATGGCTATTTTGAGGCTAAAGTATACACAAGGTTATTAATTCAGACGATTCGTTTTTACCGTGAGCAAGCTTCAAATCTTTTGTGCAAGACATATTTTCTTGAATATTTATAAATCTTTTTCCTCACCAAGTTTGAAGTCTAAGTATCGAGAATTGCGGCTAAGCCTATACCAATTTCCGCGGTGTCGTGTTATGACCGGATCAAAAGTTAACAATGTAAGTTCTTTAATCAAGTTAAGTGGGCATTTAGATTAAGAACAGAGTGAAGCTCTGGTTAATTTATACCAAAGCTGCATGTGTGCATGGGCCAAAGTGAACTTTGCTATTATTTCGCCGTTTTCCTCGAATTTTGCTATTATTTCGGACTTTTCCCTAAGTCTGGTTTTAAAATATGAACTAAGCAAGGAATACAATATATTTAAACAGGGCCGAAACTAAATACGATGATTAAGGAGGGAGTGCATATAAGCGAGGATCGTGTTTTGAACACAATATATCCTGAGCGAGGTTAAGATTCTCGATGTCAGATTTGATTTCATCACAGCAATGCGCTCTTGTGCAGCCAGTTTGGAGAACAATCTGGAACAAAATCACCACCAGAAAAATTCTCAACATTATCAGGTCTCGAAATTCACAATTAACCGTCCAAGTAGAAAGCAACTTGATCAACTGAGAACAGAGTTAAGCTCTGGTTAATTTATACAAGAGCAGTGTGCATGACGAAGTGAACTTTGTTGTCATTTGGCTTTCCGGTCTCTTTTGAGGTCTGGTTCGCGTTTCCTGCATGTCTTTTTCAAAGTGTGTTTTGAACAAAGAAGCAGAGGCCGCTGAAAATCGTTAAGTGGTTAGGTGGGAAGCAAATATTTATATTCGACTTGACAGACCTTAAAAACAATCAATTTCAAAAGAAAAAACAGGCATATAATCCATCGCAATTATTGCTACCATGGTTTAATCAATGCAAGTAATCACTACGTAAAGATTTAATTCACTAATCTATCGTGGGTCTTAAATGTAGTCTTTGTGTGGTCACTACATTCAGTAATCGAACCAGACTAGCGCCGTAACTGCAATAATTATATGCATTATTTGTTTCCTATCGTCAACATTCTTTCGCTCCCCATGGAAAGAAACAATTATTTTCAGATCAGGTCGCACGTGGTCCTCTTCTTAAATTCGTATAGGAACATTGCTCCTCCCATCGCGGCCATCACAACGCTTGTTAAATACCTACGTGCAAATTTACTCACAGGCAAAGGAAGACATCGTGCAACACTACGGCGCGTGTAAAGTTTGACCTCTGAAAGCACCCTTAAGTGGGCATTAACCTAAGATTGACCCAGTATTGAGTCAAACTCTGGTTGATTTATTCCAAAGCTGCGTGCATGCATGGGAAAGTGAGTGTAAAATGACAGAGGTATTGAAATGAGTAAATATCATGATCCTGGTATTCGTGTGCTAATCCTAACAAATGTCTTTTCTCTCCTTTCGTTTTCTTCTTTCACGTTCAAATTCTCGTCTGGGTTTTTCGCTATATGTCTATTTTAAAGAGTGAATTAGGGCTGTTCACATGATCCCTCAGCCGAGATTAACGAAACAATAATTAAATGACTTTAGGTTATTGTAATGGGGCTATGACTTGATCCTAGTTGTCGTGTAGTTAACCCAATATTGCTATGTGATTGCTTTATTTCATAAAGCCATATTTTAATATCTTAAAATCATCTCACACTTTGCAAATCTCAGGTAACATGCAATGCTCATGTGAACAGCAGCCTCTAAACAAAGTGTAGTGTAAATGGGCTGTCACTGGTTCTTCGAAAGCCGTTTAGTTTAAAACGTGGATAAGTTCAAAAAGGAAAGCAAAATTATTTATTTATTGAACAACTGAGATGAAATATTTCGATGTAAATAGTTTAATTTTCAGTGGAAGTACATATTTAATGCATAAAGAAGCGTGAAGAAGTGTTGGTGCTTGAGACGAAGGCCATGCAAGGCCAAACTTATGTATTATGACCGGATCCAAAGTTGACAATGTAAAGCTCTTTAATTAAGTCCGGTCCTTTCCCGGCCAAATTCCAACTTTTCATGTGCCGAACTAAATGCAAATAAACTTCAACAAAGCTTCAGCTCATTAACGTTAAGTTACATATTAGATTACACGATAAGTTGTATGCAATTATCATTCTGACGAATGCCAAAGAGGGCCTATGCCACAATCTTCATTCAGTTTTGTTCAAGTTGAAATTTAAAGTCCACGTTTGTAGTGTGTTTATACGTTCACATACGCCAGGGTACGAATCGTATACGACAAATTGCATAGTGTAAATAAATGGGTCTTTAAGATTCGGATCATCAAAATTAAGGTTTCTTCACACGATCCAATTTTGTCGATCCAATTCACATTTTGAAAGATGTTTTTATGTGACTTGCAATGTATATGGGCAGCAAATCAACTAAAGCGATGATTACAGTACTGATTTATCAATAACAAACTACATTCCATACGTCAGATGTGAATTGGATCCGACAAAGTTTGAGGTCTCATGCTCTGGTCAATTCATGCCAAAGTGTTGTGCATGGGAAAGTGAACTTTGCTCTCTTCTGGTTTTCTTCGACTTTAAAAGTCTCGTTTGCGTTACCTTAATGAAGTAAGAGACTTATGACTGAGATTTGATTTGAGACTATAATATCAATATGCAACTCAGTAGAGAACGCACGTCGTATACTTCACACGTAAACGCACTTCTTGGTGTATTCAACCAAATCTCCTCCAGTATGGTCAACCAACCCTTTTACCGGCGTGAGATGATTTTGAGATATTAAAATTATATATCTTTATGAATCAAAACAAGCACAGGGCAATATTAGGATAACTATACGACTATACGATCATGTTATAGCCTGATTTCAATATTAACCTCAAGCGGGACTTGATTAAAGAACTTTACATTGTCAACTTTAAAATGTGTTTTTGGTCCTCATGAAGCTGGTCTTTATTTCAAAACTTGTTTGGACGAATTTTCATCTCCGTTTCTTTCAAAGAAGAGTATGAATTTTCCCAAGCGAACCAGACTATTCCTTTAGACGAAATCGCACCTGCGTCAAGGTACTTTCCATTGAGGTTGGATTGAAAGCAGGCTTTGTACCACCAAGCTCCTTCATGCTGCTTAGCACAATTCTTGAGATCGCTGAGATCATTGTCACTATCCCTGGTGGTGAACTGCATTTGATTGTGATAAGTAAGAGAATCACCCGCGTTACTTATTGCTGAAGAAAATAATAAAAAATCTTCCGTTAGTGACAATTTAAAGCAAAACAATTTCCGTTCAAATTTCTAAGTTAGAACATCTCTTTGTCATGGCATAACAGGAGGTTTCATTTCATCCAGAATCGTTTTACCGGCGACTTGTTGTTTTGTGAAAACTCAGCTTTGATTATTAACTAACCATTTTCAATGCCAGACCAACTTACATTACATACACTGTTTTTCCTTCTGAAGAGTTTGTAGCAAAATATTTATCCAGATAATGTTTTTTTTATCTCAAACTTGTAGTTCCACAAGTGAGTCTAAGTTGCAATCATTAAGCAGTATTTTGGTCACATGTGTTCATCTGTAATTCTCCATAAAGGTCTCATGAATTGTTAATTAATAAGTTAACTTTGATACAACCAATCTTAATTAGTATTCATAACTTTGTTACACACATGCCCTAATATGCATTAAGCTTAATTTATTCATTTCACAAGCACGTTAAAATACTCGCAGCCGATCTGTATGGGATTTACAATGGCTCGTGCTACGCGCTCGCGATTGTAAATACCCATACAGATCGGCCGCTCGTATTTTAAATAGTACATATTGAATTTGCCACCCTAGTGCGCGTTATTATGGGATATACAGTGAAAATAGTGAAAATAATTTTTGTTTTAATTTTATGCTAACAGGCAAGTATGCTCCGGTTTTGTCATAAAAATAATTAAAACAATAACCACGACAATGGTTAAACAGAAAATTTGTCGTGTTAATCCAAGTTTTTATTTCATGTATCTTTTATTTCATATATCATATATTTCTATGCATTGAATGAGTAGCGTGATTTAAGGCGCATGCTCGTGATATTTTTACTGAAACCAATGAGATTCATCAAATGTTTAAGAGCCGCACGAGCGTGTTCGGATAAGTTAAACAGCTGAGATTCCCTGAGAATCTAAATTCAGGCACAGCGCATGCGTGTAGTTTACCTGAGTAATCTCCAATCTTCAATCTGTATTTGTCTGACTCATCAGCCACACTAAATTCTCCATATTTGGCATAACCTTCGATGCTTTTGAAATCCATCAAATCAATTCTTAGAACATTTTGGCCAGATTTCGTTAAACGATGTATTTTATCAAGACCCAACCAGAACTCGCCGTTAAGATCACCAAAGCCAGCTTTATAGTCTGACCATCCTAGGAAGAAATCCTGGCTTCCATCTTGTCTTCTTTGAAACACGGTCCAGCCACCCCCGTCTGTTGTCATATCACAACTGACGTTGAACGATCCGAGGCCATCGGGATCAATCGTATAAACACCGTCTTCTTTCACTCCAGATTTATAGAGATCAGCACAACTTTTTTTGGCAACTGCACAAACGGAAAAATACGAAATATCAGAATGGTCATTTCGATAAGAAAGTATCAAAATCTTTCCGGTTGTTGAGCGACTTGGTAGCGGGAAAGTGCAAACCGGACAGAATGATATATTCTTCCGCAAAGGAGTTTATTTTTCCGCTGGAATGCAACAACTGTACTCTTTCACTCTACTATTGCTTTAGCAATTGAAAAAAATCAATACATTCCGCTTGTTAACGTTCTTCGTGTTTATAAGAGAAAGTTGATTAAAATCATAGTTTAACTAAATAAAATCGCAATGTTACCTTCTTTTTCACACAATATTCCATGCGCTTGTTTTTTTTTTGAATGTCGCGTTTTATGTCACCACAGCATGATTCATAGCGTGGATCGTGTTTTGAACACAATATATCCTGAACGAGTTTAAGATTTTTTATATCAGATTTTATTTCATCACAGCAATGTGCTCCTGTGCAACCAGTTTGAAGAGCAATCTGGAACAAAATCACCACAAGAAAAATTCTCAACATTATCAGGTCTTAAAATTCACAATTAACCGTCCAAGTAGAAACCAACTTGATCAACTGAGAACAGAGTCAAGCTCTGGTTAATTTATACAAGAGCAGTGTGCATGACGAAGTGAACTTTGTTGTCATTTGGCTTTCCGGGCTCTTTTACGGTCTGGTTTGCGTTTCCTGCATGTCTTTTTCAAAGTGTGTTTTGAACAAAGAAGCAGAGCCGCTGAAAATCGTTAAGTGGTTGGGTGGGAAGCAAATATTTATATATTCGAGTTGACAGACCTTAAAAACAATCAATTTCAAAAGAATCTAAAACCGGCATATAATCCATCGCAATTATTGCTACCATGGTTTATTCATTGCAAGTAATCACTACATAAAGATTTAATTCACTAATCTATCGTGGGTCTTGAATGTAGTCTTTGTGTGGTGACTCTTTCAGTAATCAAACCAGTTTAGTGCAATCGATAACTCCAATAAATATATGCATTATTTGCTTCCTACCGTCAACATTCTTTCGCTGCCCATGAAAAGAAACAATTATTTTCAGACCTCTTCCTAAATTCGTATAAGAACATTTCTCCTCCCATCGCTTGTTAAATACCGTGCAAATTTACCAGTTACTTACTCACAGGCAAAGGAAGACATCGTGCAACACTATACGGCACGTGTAAAGTGTGACGTGTGAAAGGACCCTTAAGTGGTCCCTTAAGATTGACTTAGTATTGAGTCAAACTCAGGTTGATTTATTCCAAAGCTGCGTGCATGCATGGGAAAGTGAGTGTAAAATGACAGAGGTATTGAAATGAGTAAATATCATGATCCTGGTATTCGTGTGCTAATCCTAACAAATGTCTTTTCTCTCCTTTCGTTTTCTTCTTTCACTTTCAAATTTTCCTCTGGGTTTTCCGCTATATGTCTATTTTAAAGAGTGAATTAGGGCTGTTCACATGATCCCTCAGCCGAGATTAACGAAACATTAATTAAACCACTTCAGGTTATTGTAATGGGGCTATGACTTGATCCTAGTTGTCGTGTAGTTAACCTAATATTTCCATATGCTTATTTCATAAAGCCATATTTTAATATCTCAAAATCATCTCACACTTTGCAAATCTCAGGTAACATGCAATGCTCAAGTGAACAGCAGCCCCGAAACAAAGTGTAGTGTAAATGGACTGGGACCGGTTCTTCGAAAGCTGTTTAGTTTAAAAGGTGGATAAGCTAAATATGGAAAGCAAAATTATTTATTTATTGAACAACTGAGCGGAAACATTTCGATGTAAATAGTTTAATTTTCAATGAAAGTACATATTTAATGCATAAGATACAAGTTCAGCAATACCCAAGATCTATAATTTTTGTAATTTGAGTATTTGTAAACTTTTGTGTATCCATCTTTTGAGCTAAAAGCCTTTCGAACAACCTGCCCCTGGTTGACAATGCTATATGCATGCATGTAGGCAGATAACGCAGGTATACTACAGGAGATTTGGTTGAATAGCAAGAAGCGTGAAGAAGTGTTGGTACTTGAGACGAAGGCCATGCAAGGCCAAACTTATGTATTATGACCGGATCCAAAGTTGACAATGTAAAGCTCTTTAATTAAGTCCGGTCCTTTCCCGGCCAAATTCCAACTTTTCATGTGCCGAACTAAATGCAAATAAACTTCAACAAAGCTTCAGCTCATTAACGTTAAGTTACATATTAGATTACACGATAAGTTGTATGCAATTATCATTCTGACGAATGCCAAAGAGGGCCTATGCCACAATCTTTATTCAGTTTTGTTCAGGTTGGAATTTAAAGTGCACGTTTGTAGTGTGTTCATACGTTCACATACGCCAAAGTACGAATCGTATACGACGAATTGCATAGTGTAAATAAATGGGTCCTTAAGATCCGGATCATCAAAGTTAAGGTTTCTTCACACGATCAAATTTTGTCGATCTAATGGCACTTTTTGAAAGATGTTTTATGTTACTTGCAATGTATATGGGCAGCAAATCAACTAAAGCGATGATTACAGTACTGATTTATCAATAACAAACTACATTCCATACGTCAGAGGTGAATTGGATCTGACAAAGGTGGATCGTGTGAACGGACCTTTAAAGTTTGAGGTCTCAAGCTCTGGTCAATTCATGCCAAAGCGTTGTGCATGGGAAAGTGAACTTTGCTCTTTTCTGGTTTTCTTCGACTTTAAAAGTTTCGTTTGCGTTACCTTAATGTCTCTTAAAGTATGAAGTAAGAGACTTATGACTGCTCACATGCTCCCGCTTAACCGAGATTTATTAACTGAGATTTGATTTGAGACTGTATAATATCAATATGTAACTCAGTCGAGAATACACGTATACTTCACACGTAAACGCACTTCTTGGTGTATTCAACCAAATCTTCTCCAGTATGACCAACCAGCCCTTTTACCAGCGTGAGATGATTTTGAGATATTAAAATTATATATCTTTATGAAACAAAAGAAGCACATGCATGGCATTATTAGGATAACTACACGACTATAGGATCATGTTATAGCCTGATTTCAATATTAACCTCAAGCCGTTTTACGCTTCGTTAAATCTCGGCAGAGGATCAAGACATGGATAAAGACATGGATCAAGACATGTCAATATGTAAAACTTTATTCTTTTAAATGCACATATAGAAAACCCAGACGGGAATTTGAAAGTGAAAGAAGAATACCAGAGGAGAGAAATCTTATGCACATTTCTTTGGCGTAATTCAACCAAAGCTTGACTAATTTAATCTCAATGTTAATGTCCACTTAAACTCGCCGGAATCAGAATTTCAGTCGTCGAAATTTACATGCCAAACATAATGTTAATAGACCTTTCCCCTTTTCGCTTTTAGCCATAGAAGCGATTTAGCCATCAGAAGCGATTTAGCTTTAAAAAAACAAAAATTATCGGCAAGGTTTTCTTACAAGCAAATCGCTTCTAAGCAGAGCGATATCGCTACTCAAAGTCGCTTGATAATCCAGTACTGTCTCGCATTGTGCGCTTGAAGAAGAAAGGTCTATTAGCTAGTGTATTTGTTTAAACGAATGCTTATAATTTATTTGCATTCGGTTCGGCACATGAAAAGTTCACTGTTTGGAAAGGGCGCGACTTGATTAAAGAACTTTACATTGTCAACTTTGGATCCGGTCATAATACATAAGTTTGGCCTTGCATGGCCTTCGTCTCAAGTACCAACACTTCTTCACGCTTCTTAGTATTCAACCAAATCTCCTGTAGTATACGTGCGTTATCTAGTTGCATGCATGCATACAGATTTGTCAACAGGGGCCGGTTGTTTGAAAGGCGTTTAGCTCAAACGGTGGATAAACCAAAGTTTAGACTTTAGTCTTGTCCTTCGTCTCAAGTACCAACACTTCTTCACGCTCTTGGTATTTAACCATATATCCTCTTAGCGCACGTTTTGAAGCTAGCATGGTCAACGGGCCTGTCCTTTTACCACGAGATATATTCAACTCACATTCCAGAATCGTCAATTGAATTGCGTTTTGTTTTACGTTTGCGCGATGTCTTCGTTTGCCAGGGAAAAATTCACTGTAGTCTCTGCTTATAGTACAGGGCAGGCTACATCACTACCAACATCATGCTATTTACTCATTTCAATACCTCAAACTGTTTTTACGCTTCCTTAAATAAGAGATTTATGTGAACAGTGATCCCTTAAATCATACTTTGAAAGAGACAATCTAGATAATGCAAATGAGACTTAAAATATCAGGGGTAAAAGAAGTGCAAAGTTAACTTTCCCATGCACACAAATTTGGTAGAAATGAACCATGCAGTGTTTGACTTTGTCAATCTTGATGCCCACTAAGTTCGTTTCAGGCATCCGGTGAATTTACATGTGCCTGTACATGTGTATTGCTGTTGCAGGATCAGTCTTTGTTTGTTAGAGAGTAAATAAACGGTAAATCTGCGCGTAGATAATTAACAAGTGGTTTTGATGGGAAGATAAAAGCAATGTTCCCATGCTCGTTTAAAAAGAATGCATGCAACGTGTGATCTAAGATCTGAATAATATTGTTTTTTGCACAGGCTGCGAAAGGTCATTAAGTAAGAGGCAAATATAATATAAATTATTCGCGCTCGGCATTTTAGCACGAATATATAAATATTTGCCTTCCACCCCACCACTTAACGATTTTCAGCGGCCTCTGCTTCTTTGTTTAGTTCATACTTTGAAAATGACATGCAGGAAACGCGAACCAGACCTCAAAAGAGCCCGGAAAGCCAAATGACAACAAAGTTTACGTCGTCATGCACATAGCTCTTGTATAAATTAACCAGAGCTTAACTCTGTTCTCAGTCAGATCAAGTTGATTTCTACTTGGGCGGTTAATTGTGAATTTCGAGACCTGATAATGTTGAGAATTCCTCTGGTGGTGATTTTGTTCCAGATTGTTCTCCAAACTGGCTGCACAGGAGCGCATTGCTGTGATGAAATCAAATCTGATATCGAGAATCTTAACCTCGCTCAGGACATATTGTGTTCAAAACACGATCCTCGCTATGAATCATGCTGTGGTAACATAAAACGCGACATTCAGAAGTTAAAACAAGCGCATGGAATTATGTGTGAAAAAAAAGGTAACATCATCATGCGAGTTAGTTATGTTTTACTACGCATCAAATGTGGTATAACAACTGCCTAAAATAGACAAAACACTTCTCGACGTCTCGCCCTGAGGGCCTTCGTCAGGAGAGTTAGTTACGAAGGCCCCCAGGTCGAAACGTCGAGAAATGTTTTGTCTATTTTACGCAGTTGCTATACCACATTTGATGCCAAGTTGTTTGAGGACGCTGCCACGCTGCGCCCTGGTTATATTGGAGCGTATGCTTTACTAAAATTAGTAGCAATAGTACAGGGTTACCAGGTTGTTACCGACGGAAAAATATATCCTAAGAACTGCATGGCTTAAATGAAAGAACAAAACTCCTATGCGAAAGAATATATTGTCATTCGCATTCCCGCGTATAAATTGCTCAACTACCGGAAAAACTTTAATATTTTGATATTTCATATTTTTCCGTTTGTGCAGTTATTGTCAAAAAAAGTTGTGCTGATCTCTATAAATCAGGAGTGAAAGAAGACGGTGTTTATACGATTGATCCCGATGGCCTCGGATCGTTCAACGTCAGTTGTGATATGACAACAGACGGGGGTGGCTGGACCGTGTTTCAAAGAAGACAAGATGGAAGCCAAGATTTCTACCTGGGATGGTCAGACTATAAAGCAGGCTTTGGTGATCTTAACGACGAGTTCTGGTTGGGTCTTGATAAAATACACCGTTTAACGAAATCTGGCCAAAATGTTTTAAGGGTTGATTTGATGGATTTCAATGGCGCTAAAGCTTATGCCAAATATGCAGAGTTTAGTGTGGCTGATGAATCAGACAAATACAGATTGAACACTGGAGGTTACTCAGGTAAACCATACGCATGCGTTGTGCCTGAATTTAGATTCTCATCTGTTTAACTTATTCGAACACGCTCGTGGCACAAAGATTTTATTCATGTCTTTAGTTTCCGTAAAGATATCATGAGCATGCGCCTTAAATTGCGCTACTTATTAAATGCATAAAAATGATTAATTATGATTAATTATGATTAATTATAATTAGATTAGTATAAATAAGTATTAATTATGATAATTAGTATTTAAGAGGAGATTTTTTAGAAAATCGCGTATTTTTGCACAAAATCGCTCAAAACTTAGCAACCAGGCCTTCGCTAAAATATGCTTTACAGCCATTTTGAATTTACAAGTTTGGTAAAGTTTTCGTGTTGAGTGACAGCTGTTTTACTAACTTTTGGGGAATTTCAAAAGACGAAAAGCTCCTTGAAACAAAGAAGAACAACAGGTGAGTGTTCGTTCCATTGTTTTGGTATATTGAATGATATAATTTTCCATGCGTACATTTTTATTAGTGCGAAGGAGTGACACACAGTCACAGTCACACACTAATGTGTAATTGACAGTGTAAACATATTGAAATATACTGATTTTAGTGGTTTAGAATTAATCTTGTGATAAAATAAAAATCTCAAATGTCAACGTTTTTATTTCTAGGTATCCAACACATCTTGGAAAATATGAACAATAGTTTCAGATACGGACATGCCAGTAAACTCGCATTTGCGTTGGAGATGGTGGATAGTTAATAGTTATGTACATAGTAGCTTGAAGATCAGTTTATCTTTATCACAACAATAATAAAAAAGACCGTAAATAATTTATTCAAGAAACAACACAAAGAAAGGGAAAGTCAAACTATTTTGATTTATTTCAAAAACAACTGCCCTCTCTACTTTATTAACAATGAATTCCTTGTGTGGTGGGTACATAATATGGGACATGTAGGTGGGACAATCATGCGACAATTCATTCCAAAATTATACAGCTGTAAGTATAGGTAATATAAAATTGTAATGTGACTTTGTTGTTAAAATATTATATCATTAATTGCAATAAATAGTGTTTTTGCAATCTTGTGTTGTTTCCACTGTTTTTTCAAAGCCTGCAATAAAAAGTAATAGATATGTCAAATATGTGGCAATGGCAAATTCCTCTATAAGAGATTTATCAAGACAAGTCTGGAGTTAACAAGAAAGGGCTTAAGGGCATGTAGGATGTAGCATCCAGGGCCTGATTTGCACAAACTTCCAGATCTGCAACATGTGTTCAACCAGGATAAATAAAACCCTATACAATCACCATAGAAATATAAAATGGGCTGAAAGCCAATTGTTTGCACAGCTTACAGTATACATTTCATTTTATATCCAAAAATCAGATAGCAACACTGGGCTATTCAAGTAAATACATGTTGTGTATACAGCAAATCTGTTTCGTGTTGAAACAAATTGTAATTTTGTCTCCTCATTGAATATAGGCTAGTAATCACCTTGCCTTTAGTCAGTAATTTTAGGATTTTACCATTTGTAATAATATTTAAGTGAATAATATTTGTCAAAATATTGGGCAATTGGAGAAAGATACATTGTAAAGATACATGCTGGACTGTACAATAAATACAGGTAGAGAATATCACACAAATCTGGTTCATTTTAAATAGTCGAAAAATGCTCCACGGCGTACCACTCCAATTTTAATTAAATGATGGTTTTTGTAAACTAGCATACCTAGGGCAAATCATGAAATACGCCTTAGGTTGATCGGAAATGGTTCTCAGTTGATATTTAATCATTTAACTTAAGGTGAAGGTTCCCTCCATATTGGCCAAATCATGGCTTATAGAAAACCTGTGGATTTTGGGAACAAAACATGTTCAAACCATCTAAAATCATCATAGAAGTGTAAAATAGGTCGAGAGCCATGTTTGCACAGCTTGTAATATGGCGCTTCGCGTTATATTCAATAAACAGATAGTAATGCTGGACTGTACAAAAAATACAGGTTGAAAATACACAAATCTGGTTCATTTTAAAAAGTCGAAAAATGCTCCACGGCGTACCACTCCAATTTTAATTAAATGATGCTTTTTGTAAACTAGCATACCTAGGGCAAATCATGAAATATGCCTTAGGTTGATCGGAAACAGTTCTATAGTAATTTACAAGTGGTGAACAACAGTTTTACAACAGACTTATGTATTCATTTTATACTCAATTACACAAAAATATTAATAACTTTTTAGATAAATTTCATGCCTAGATTTTGGGACCAGGGCAATTGTTGTAACAAAATACATCTTAGTTAAACATTAGACGTTATAAATTATAATATGAACACTTAGCTTGAAAGATAAGAGCAAAATACGGATTATAGTGACTGCATTTTGTGAAAATTTAAAATTTGAATCGCTTCTAAATTTAAGCAAGATTTACTCCGAAATAACCAAGTTAAGTTTATATAAGATGCCTTAAATTAAAACTAGAATGTCTAAGGAATGTTGCAAGGTATGATTTATTGTTATCGATGGCAGTAAAATATGAAAAATCCGCAAAAATGCACGCCTACCTTCCATGCTTCTGTGAGAGCCGAATCCTTCCAACCCCTCTGTGTAACATTGCATTGCTTTTAACTCTTCAATTACTGTTGAATTCATCTTGTTTATCATTTTACACATCATTCCAATAGTATATTGACGATATTTAACAAAATTAAACGAAAGTCAACAGTTGACTATGTGAAAACACGCAGTAAAGTACTCACACGATATAAGAACCAGCCGCCATGTTACCACCCGATTCATTCGATTAAATCTTAATTTAGTTTTGAGCGCCCAATACGCGATTTTCAAATAAAACTCCTCTTAATAGCATTAATTATTTATGTTGTATTTATTGTCATGAGAAACTAAAGTGAGCACATTTGCCTGTTAGTATAAAATGGAAAAAAGTTATTCCACTATTTTCATTATATCCCATAATGTCCGTGCCATAATGTCCCATAATCCCATAATGTACCATTGTGAAGTGGAAGAAGTTTAAGAAAGAAAATAATTTGTCATTTTGAAAGAAAATAATTTTCCCCCGTTTGCTATTGAAATACCTATTGGAAATAGTTCATGATAATTTATTTTTTCAAGGCTGAATTTAACGGCGTAAAACGATTCCGGATAAAAATACCCAGAGAATGTTATTTACCGTGGAATTTTTTTTATATTCTTCAAAGGTAACGCAGGTGACTCTCTTGCGTATCAGAATCAAATGCAGTTCACTACAAAGGACAGTGACAATGATGCTTGGAAAAGCAATTGCGCTTCGTATTATGAAGGAGCTTGGTGGTACAAAGCCTGTCATGCATCCAACCTCAATGGGAAGTATCTGAGTTCAGGACAGGTTTCTACTCAAGGAATAACCTGGTACAATTGGAAAAATTCATACTACACTCTGAAAAAGACGGAGATGAAAATTCGTCCCAACACCTTTTAAAATAAAAACGAGCTTCTAGAGGACTAAAAACATTTACGCCAGACACATTTCACCCGTTCAACGAAAAATGTAAATTTATTATTGTTTTTTCCTCACAATTTCAGTCTGCAACACACGCTCCAAAGTAACTCTTGTAGTTATGTTTAAATTGAATGATAAATTAATTAAAATGTACATAGGTGGATTTCACTCAAGATTAATACATAGAGAAACACTTGGTGGTCAACTTCACAAATATTGCCGAATTATGCCTTGTGGAAGTGAGCAAATTTCGTTAAATTGCACATAACATCTACTCAACATTAGGTTAAAACCTACAATGAATGTTTTATTTGATTTGATAAATATTTTCCATCTGGAGTTCACCACCAAGTGCTAAATTTGTCACGTGACTGAAACCCAGCTATTAGACGTTTTACTGTTTATATTACACTGTTTTATCTCCGAGTACCAGTAATTGAATATGTTCATTTAATAAAATTCATTTTAAAGCCTTTTCAATGCTCGCGCATGGAATTTTTGTGCAGCGCATGCGCATACGTTTGTAAAATCGTATTTGATCAATCAAAAAGATAAGAGATGCCTTTTTTATGCTTCTAATAGCAAAATGTTTAATACTGAATAGGTTTTATTTATTCTAGTTCAGCTCCGAAGCAAACATATTTAGAACTGAATAACACCAATTCCGTCTTTCTAAAGTTAAAACCTAGTTAATTAACGTGTTTACAAAATTCCTCTATTTTGCATCATTGGGTGTGTCTGGTCTGGGTAAATAATGCTTTAAGACTCTTACAAGGCTTTTTTCACTCAGAGCAAGTTTGCTTGCAATATGGCATGAACATATTTTCATATTTTATAAAATTAAAGAAAAAAATTGTATAGTGGACCACCATAATCAAGTAAATGCAGGCCGGCCAGCGGTGAGGTGTGTGGGTTCATGCGGTTCAGTTTTTCAGTGCATTATTCAGACCAGTGTCACTTGTATCATGCAACAACTGAAAAAGAATGTAATGGCGTTCAAAAGTTGGTGTTCTTCATCGCGTTGGAGAACACATTTACGCGTCTTTTTAAGCTTCTAAAATGCGATGTGCATAAAGCAAGAGTCTCTACGAACCATCTTGGAAAATTTGATCTGTAAGGTACCTAATATGCCTGGAGTATATAAATACTTTCTTATTCAATTTCAATCGTGAAAATATTCTTTCGCGGCGGGAGCATATTTGGGCATCTCGAGTTGCCCTTAAATTTTCAGTGTTTAAAGATCGATAAAATTGATGATGTTTTGGACTTCGACAAAGTAAAACAAAGAGCAAATCTGAATGATTCTGCCATCAATTCTTAGGCGCGACGCCATATTGAATTTCCAATTAGTGCTATATAAGGCTAAGTCACGCATGCTTGGCGGCCATTTTGGCCTGCATTTCTGGCCATGATTTTAATTTATGCCTTTAACGAAGCAAAGACATAATTTATTCTATCGTAAAATGGATGATATCATAGATATTATATCTATGGACGAGATACAAGTTATTATTCATTCCTTTAACAGTATCATTCGTATATTTACTTGCGGATTACCAGTTATTTAATCTCGGGAAAACGAAGACATCTTGAAAATGTAAAACAAAACACATTTATTCAAGTGGTTGTTATCGCACAATATCTTCACATTTTTTTTTATTTAATACTCGTCCAATGTGCAATAAATAGTGTGCTAAGGTAGGTTCCAGACCTGTTTTTCGAAAAATATTCTTGCACTTCGTGAGAGTTGTCTCTTCTCAGCTTCCTCTGTCCTCACGAGGTCGATCCCTCGTGTAGTTCGTCTTTTAAACACTCTCCTCCAAAAATTTTTGGCACCGGTGCTGAGAGTTTACTGTATGTGTAATGTGGAGAGGCGCGGACGTTTCGGACGTACACATGTTTGTGAGATGCAAACAGAATACGTGGTCCGTCTGAAACGTCCCCGCCTCTCCTAGCCACCTATGACTATAGCAACTGGTTCAACCTTTATATCTTCCACGAATGAAAAGACATCGACGGAAATCAGGCTGCCAGGACGCTCTCTCCAGCTGTACAATCATAGGCAGCCCAGTTATTGATGCTCTTACTTTCAAAATGAATCTCAAAAAGAATTCGCGTGTGGATTTTATCACGGTTGAGTGTGACGCTCGCGAAAGCGTTTGCCATCACGATTCACTTAAAATCAAAAGCATTAATAACTGGGCTGCCTATAGTGCTTTTATGCTATTTCAATCTTTGGGAAGTCGTGATACACTTGCACAAACCCAGGCTCTCGTATGAGCCTATAGCTTAGAAACCATAATTTAAAGACGAGTCGACGACTTCGACTTTAGGGACTAAGTTATTCAATTTAAATGGATCAATGTCGGTTTGCATCAGATCTTCTGGTAAACTGGATTTGAACTCTTTGCTGGTAATGAACGGATCATTCGTCTGAAACATATTGTTGGGAAAATGTCTCGAATTCAAAATATAGCTCTCTGTAGCAACATTTCTAGACCAGATATTTCCATACAATGTATTCATATTGTCTTGTGAAATTTGCCATTGACTTTCGGCGCTTGATAACGCAGTATCAAGCACGTTTCCTTCAAAATTACTGGACGTTTCTGGCAGTTTCACATCTGTATTTTGTTCATGTTTACAAATTCTCATGCCATCATCCATATGCAATTCGGGTTTTGTAAATAAATTTCCGTAAACAGATTCGATATTTTCATCATTTAGTCCTTCAGATCTTAGGAGCGATCCAATGTTATTTGATAAATCTGGCAATTGAGAGAAGTTGTCATCGGTCGTTTCATTTAATACAATACTTGAGACGAGATATTTTTCCAGCTCGTCATCTATTGCTAGCATACTTGAAGGAGTGTCTCCATTTTGAGTCCTGTTGCAGCTGTTGTTAGATATCTGCGTGTCCGTTTCCATCACCTCTGCTTTAATGTTCAATTTCAGTTGGTCCGGGGATCTCAAGGATTGTGATGAATCTTGCTCTTTATGTTGACCAAGTTTATCGTCTTGCGTAAGTTCACCAGATTCACCCTCTGAATCGGTTTCTGATAAAATTGTGAACATCTGTTTATTCTTTTCCTTTGACACCTCAATGCCACAAAGTAGAACTTCTGGAAGTTCAATATCCCTATCATCTTTCCTTCGCTCTTTAAAGAAATCTGGACAAAATGTTTCAGCGAAAGATGGAAGCTGGTTGCTTTCAAATTTATATTTAACCATTGTGCATTTTGGAATTTTATTTGTCGTCAACAGTTTGATTAACTTTTTACGGATTTTAAATATCTCATTTTCTTTCGAGTTTTGTTCGTTGTCGTGTTGTTTGATATTTTGCTCTACTAATTTTATTTCATGGTTTGTTTTGACATCTGGCCCAACATATTCACTCACAGAATGCACGGCGCTTCTTTCTGTTTTCAGATTTTCTTTACAAACACGAACGGGAGTCTCAGGTATAGTCTCCTTTATGAAATCCTTTAGTATTTCTTCTTTAAAATCACTTCCCGCTTCTTTCCTGATACTTTTAGAGTCAGATGGGAATAAGACGTTAGCAGGTGGTATTTCAAAGCGTTCTTGTTCGCTTCTGACCTGTTCTTTGTCATCGACAATAAACATTAAAGAGTCAATTGAGTTCTCTCTTGTTAAATTCTCGTCTGGCCGAGTACTAACTATAGAATTTGTCGCGTGTTCCGTTTCGCTACCTTTGTTGATTTTAGTGTAGCTATCTTCCATATTTTTAACAAATTCACCTTGTATTTGTTGAGTTGAAACGCTTTTGTTTTTTCGATTGGCAAAATCTATCGTTTGATTTTGGTCAGGTACGACCTGTTCATTTAAATATCCTTCTCGCAATGATTTTGTTTCCGTTTCTGACCAAGTTCCTTTAGAATTTAAAACAGAAAACCATCTCTCGGAATCACCGAGATCGCTTTCTTCCTTCACGACTCTATCAATCAAATTTTCAGTTGTAAAATTAAATTCAGGGGATTCGAGTGGAAAATCTGTCGCTGGTGAAACTTTCCAATCTTCGAGATCAAACGGTTTATAGTTTTCAGAGCCAACTCCAATTATGTCTTCGTCTCGAAGAAAATATCCATCCATACCGTAGCTTTAAAATGCTTTCGTATACATTCGAAACGCGTTTTACTTATAAAATTACATAAATCTAAGCAATGACTGGTATCTGACCTTTCAGTGACCTTCATCACGTGACCCAGATCTTAAGGCAATGCAACCTGCTTATAAAAAAATAACAAATATATAAAAGAAAGATTTTTAGGTATGAATTTTTTTCATAGTTCAAGCGAAATTTAGCGCCTTTGGTTCTTTTGATTCACTTTAATACAGAAAATTAAGTGAATTTCATAAATCAGGAGGGGGTGAACCCGCCGAGTCAATAGCTTTAAGGGGCTGTTTACATGAGCCCGGTTACCCGAGATTCAACGAAGCGTGAGATGATTTTGAGGTATTGAAATGAGCAGATAACATGATCCTGGCGGTCGTATAATCACCGCAACAATAGCATGTGCTTGTTTGGTTTCATAAAGACTTATTTTAATACCTCAAAGTCCTCTCACGATTCGTTGAATCTCGGGTAACCGAGCTCATGTAAACAGCCCCTAAAATAGATTCTTATATACAGCTTTAAAATAGATTATTGTCTAGATGGTTCTAGTTGACAGGTCCGAAACAAAAGTAAAATGTCGCTTAGCGCGAATATTATCGCTGGTGGAAAACCGACCTTACTCCGATATTAGGGAGCTTTAGCAGTGACTACGAGTACGACTACGAGTACGAGATTCGTCATTCTCGCGCGTTGTTTGCTTACGCCATCAGCCAACACTCGTAGTCGTTGGGCTTTCGAGTACGAGTTTTTTGATAAATTTCGTAGTCAAAAGCCCAACGACTACGAGTTTTGGCTGATGACGTAAGCAAACAACGCGCGAGAATGACGAATCTCGTACTCGTAGTCACTGCTAAAGCTCCCTATTATCACGGTGCATGACGACATGCCCTAAACTTCTTCGTCAAATATCTGCTGAATTTCAATGACACTGCATTTGATCAAATCATCGTACAGATGATCAAATATTTACGAATTTTATGTCGCAAATGTATTTTTCCTTGTGAATTAGTCACGGCATTTAAATGGTCGTGACCAAAGATCCAACGACAAACATTTCATATCAAAGAGATATAGGTCCTGATGGCCCAATTCTGTATATATACTTAAGGCTAGTTTCCACTCAGAAAAAATCTCCTTTGCAGTCGGGACAGACAGGAAGATTTCTTTTGTCGGGCGTTTATACAAAAGAAACTTTTCTGTCCTGTCCGATCCAAAGGAGAATTTTCCTGAGTGGAAACTAGCCTTTACGGCTGGTTTCCAGTCAGGAAAATTATCCTCCGGACCGATGAGACAGTATGGTTTCCGTTGTGCTTAAGACAATTAGTTATGGTTGAGAAGACATGGATAAAAGAAACTTTTTGTCCGACCGGTCGGAAAGAAAATTTTCCTGACTGGAAACCAGCGTTTACCTTGGGACATGTTGTTTTAGTATTTTAAATTAAAATATCTTAAATAGCTGTTTTATTTTAAATTAAAGCGTATTCTAACTGAATTTAAATAGCTTAAAATAGCTAATATTTGTGTGAATTAAATAAAAAATTAATTGCCATAATATTAATTGCCATAATTGTCATAACATTAAGTGCCATTAAATTTTTCTAGGTCGCACAAAGCTGCCGTAGGGTTTTTTTTAATACACATAGTTGTGATAACTTGTCACAATCAATCAAGACACAAAGTTAAAAAAGAATTTGCAATCTACAAAATGTTCATGCAAACAATAAGAAATCAACATAAAGTTTCTAAGCAGTTAAGAGATATTAATTCGATTCTATGAATTATGCAGTTAGCAATCCGTCACTAATTTCGATCCTTTGTGTATATACACAACTTAAGGCTAGTTTCCACTGAGGAAAAATCTCCTTTGGATCGGACAGGACAGAAAAGTTTCCTTTGTATAAACGCCGCCTGAGAACTCACCGACAAAAGAAATTTTCCTGTCTGTCCCGATCCAAAGGAGATTTTTCCTCAGTGAAAACTTGCCTTTAGAAGTTTTCATTAATGTGAATAAATCGAAATAAGGTAATATTCTGTTAGTTTATACTGCGCGTATAAAAACGTGCAAAGTTTGGTTTTCAGTCAGGAAAATTATCACCCGAAACGTATAGGACAGTATGGATTCTTTTGTGGTTAAGACAGTTTATAGTTTTGGTTTTGAGCAAAAGGATAAATGAAACTTTTCTGTCCGATACGGTCCGAAGGATAATTTTCCTTCGATTCTCTCGAATTCACTTGATCGTTATCATTTAGGACGGATTTAATTGCAAACCGCCAAGACTAGCTTTAAAATCGATTCTCGTAAGGTAGACGCGCACTTACTTCAGCTAGGACTCACTCAAATTATCATTGTGAAAAACATGTCATAAAAAATGAGTCTAGACTTCTTGGCCAAATATTCGCTGAACTTCACTTACACATCATTTAAGGCGATTAACTAAGGCATGCTGCATGATCATCAAATATTTACACAGACAAATTTTATTTGACGAATTTTATGTCGCAAATATATTTTTCTTGTCCATGAATGTGAAATTAGTCACGGAATTAAATGGATCGTGATTTCGTATTTTAAATTAGAATAGCTTAAATAGCCCAAATATTATATATTATATAAAAATTATGCAGTTATTAATCTGTCAACAATTTTGATTCCTTGTGTACAACGTAAATGTTTTTATCATAATTGCTTAATTGGTATCAAATCCAGTTTGTGAAGAAAAGCTAATTCGCTTAAATACTGTAACTAAAAAGGATTTTCAACTTTAACAACGGAAAAATTATTGAGCTTTTAAATCTTCCTATTTAAATATTATTTAAAGTATATAACTTAATTAATTTTTGGTTGGTGTACTGAGCGTATGAAATCGCGTAGTTGGAAAGTAGCTTTAATGTTGCAATTATACGTCAGCAGCGTCTTTCATAATTGATAATACGCAAACACCAACAACAGGTAATTAAATTACTGAGACATACACATTAGAGAGCGCATTCGTGCGAGCATATTCATTGCATCTTGAGGGAGAAGTAAAGAACTAAGCAGAAACAATTTTAACGTATCATCGACCAGTCCTCGAAATGTTGATTTTCCTCAGCATTTTATTGATGACTTTGTCAATGCTAGAAGCTCAACGTTGTGCTTCAAGACATTTCAAAAACGTCAGTGTTGGTAAGTGTGTAATTTGCTTTGTTTTATGCTTGGTTTCCATATAGTCGTGAACACGTCAATGTGGCTGATATGATATGAATAAACTTCACCGGAGACGAGCTTTACAAGCATATATTCACTGCGCTAAAACCTTTAAGATTCAAATAAACGTGGTCCCTTTTCTTCACAAATCATGCAGCGGGAGGAATCCTGGCCTTCCAAAATTGGTTGTTGTTTAACGAATAAAACACTGGCTTTTCAACTCAGAGGAAATTATTTTGAAATTTGCACTGTTTTTACAGTGTATGAATCAAATTATCATAGAAAATTGATTTTCTGAATTTTCTATTCTATGCAGGAAATGAAGCGTTGCGTCCATCAGAGTTGATTTCAAGTCACAATATCCACAGATTGGGAGAGTGTCATTTCCTGTGCATTGAGAAAGAAAATTGTTATGGTTACAACTACAGAGTGAGACCAAGCAGTGTTTATTCCGTAAACTGTCAACTTAGCAACCGCACAAAGAAGTGGAACAAAACAACGACTAAATATGGACCATGGGTTTACTACGAGGATGTTAAGGTAAGGTTAAGTTTTCGACTACTTCATGAAAAATAGCAATCCAGAGTGCGATTATCAATGCATTGAGGCGGATTTCCAATCAAAGCGAAATCGTTCGCTAGCGAAATATTCGCATATTTTCTTTCGAAATTTAACAGCATAAATGAATTTGTGCGACTTGACTGTTCTCAATTCAAAAGAAAATATGCAAATATTTCGCTAGCAATTAAATGATTTCGCTGTAAGTGGAAATCCGCCTTTAAAAGGCCTAGGCGATTGATCGCTCAGTGTACCATAATAGCTCTAATCATTTTCAATTATTTTGAAGTTTGAACAATAAATCCGAAATAGCTGATTTAATTTCTCTTTCATATAGGTCACAGAAGGTAAGAATGAAGAATCTCATTAACTATAATAGATGTGAGCGATGTATCCGTAGATATTCTTCTATAAAAGAAAAAATGCAACCATGATCATTAACAACAGCAGAAACACAATGAAATATCCACCAAAGGGAGAACCACCTCATAGGTCAAAATTACTGATTTTTTAAAAAAATACGCAACTATATTAAAACGAAGTCTATCAATATGACATTTATAGTACGCACCCAAGTGAGGTGAGAATTTTTAAATAACGTGGAAAACTCGTCCTACGGGATCGTTCTCCCACTGACTATTTCTCGTTCAACCAACCCTCCCCACGCTTATTTCTAGATCTATAACGGGATAGAAACATGGAAAATGTTCTCTATTTTTTAATTATTATTCATGCAGATATTGACGAATGTTTCCTCGGGACACACCTATGTCATGTGAATGCTATATGCAGCAACTTTATTAGGGCCCTAAGGTCGAAACGTTGAGACGTGCTTTAGGCAGTTGTTAACACTACCACATTTGATGCTAATTTTCAAAATCTTTACTCTTTTTGGAGTTTCTATTTTTATATATTGCAAAGCTTACATAGTTTCTGTACTTGTGTAAATGCATCCACTTTCATAATCATATGTTACACAAGTTTCAGCTACAAGTTGTCTCAACTTGTACCAGAACGGTAAGAGATCTGATGGAATTTACACAATCAATCCGGACGGTAAGAGTTCTTTTCAAGTCTGGTGTGATATGACAACCAATGGAGGAGGATGGACGGTGTTTCAAAGAAGACAAGATGCAAGTGTAGATTTTTTTCGTGGTTGGTCAGAATATAAAACAGGATTTGGTTCTTTAAACGGAAATTTTTGGCTTGGTTTGGAAAACATTTTTCGCATGACAAAAACTGGAAACAAGAATTTAAGAATCGACCTGACAGACTTTGATGACTCAACAGCTTTCGCTCTTTATTCCACATTTTCTTTGGCCTCTGAGTCTGAAGGTTATAAATTGAACATCGGAGGGTTTTCCTCGGAGAGTAAGTAAATTTTAGTACACTCTAAATGTCGAAGTGTCCAGCAAACACAATAAGTGTAAATACACACAATTTTGGTGTAACTCAGTATATTACATCCACAAAGTGCAAATATATATTTCATATATGAAAATTATTGCATTTTGCATAAAAATTATTTTATAGAAATGAAACCAAGGTTTATGTTGGTTTGTGCGCATTTCACTTGGGTGACACGATCTTTACTGCTCTTAGTTTTACTAATACGGTGCCGCACTTTAAACCCAGCTAATAAATTGGTGGGATTTTGTTTGGCTTACAAATTATAGAGAGCAAGCAAGCATGGAAGCGACGTTTTGACAACACGGACGTCACGCGTACTTTACAGCAAATTATTGCGTCAGCAGTCCGTGCTTGAAATCCAGAACCGGGCAGTGGACAGGATTTCACCACAGAGTAATTAGGTGGAAACAAAGAATAGGGGTCAATTAACATTAGGTTTGGCTCATGAGGGACGCTACTTTTCAGGAAGAAGACTAATTTGGCACTGGTTTCTTCTGGATACAGCTAGTTAATTCTCTTTTTTACATAATTTCAGGTAATGCTGGCGATTCTTTGACATCTACGCATAACGGAATGAAGTTCTCTACAAAGGATCGCGATAATGATCGGGATGGTGGTAGCTGTGCTGCGCATTGGAAAGGTGCTTGGTGGTATAACAGATGTCATAGTTCCCACCTCAACGGCAAATATCTCAATGCAGGTGACAGATCTTGGAGTGGCATCACCTGGGGCAACTGGAAAAGCGATACGAGATCTATGAAAAAAACTGAGATAAAAATCCGCTGACCTCAATTTTGAACTGTCATGGTTGCAACGTTTACTCAGTACTGAAACTACGCACTATATAATGTTCGTAATTAATTAAACATCTCAAACATATATCATAAATTCTTACTTCCTATGCAATCCTTTTAAAAAAGGATAATTTTATTTCCCTGTCGTTTTTTATCTTAGGCAGTGGAATAGTGGTATATAAAGCTAGCTAGTCTGTTGTAGTCAATGAAGAAAGGCATGGAAACACTCACACACAAAGTATCTTCAAGGAAATTGATTATTTCTAACCTATATATTTACCTTTCTCTGTCAGATGTGTCGAATATATTAATAATTTTGTAAACTAAATAGGCTAACATTAAGCTGTTTAAACCACTAAGGTATATAATTTATAATGATCTGTGCATAAAAAATTGATGATAAAATCACTAATTAGTTTCGTGTTGTCTATCCTTATGTAATGACAAAGGATCGAGTAAAGTACTGCGTACAGTGTCTGACGACGTTGCATCTAATAATTATGGTGTAACAAGGAGTTGACTCCTACTACAGATCAAAATTGCCTTCGCAATAGTGTATTTTTTAAAGTGTTTTTGAAAATCCGTAACCAATAACTCTGTACTCTTAATAACGCATTTTTAATTCAAAATTTATTCCACTAGATATCAAGTACCTAAAATTTCAAAAATACTTCGACATTTTGACCAATGGGTCTTCGTTAGAAAATTTAGTAAGAAAAGAAATTCGAGAGCATATGTTTGACGTCAAAACACGTGGTAAAATAAACCAACGTAAAACAAAAAATTCCAAAAAAGTTAGAATACCATACTGGACGTTGCCCTAGAGTTTTCACGCCTGAATTGCAGGCTAGACAACCAGCAAACAAGGAGGCCTGAGTTGGCGAAGGAACCATATTGCAATCTGTTTTGTTGTAAACAACATAATAGCATGTAATTCATATCTTTATTGACGGTGAACTGAAGTGAAATAAATGAAAGGTAGTTATTCATTTATAAGACGAAGAGTGCAAAGACTGTGAATGAGTCACATTTCTTTTTGTTCGCGGTTTCGATCAAAGATGGGACAAATAAGAAGCCCTGGATTCTTATATTTGAGACACAAATCACAATGATTACCAAAGGTAAAATATCTAGGAACAGACCTGATGTTATCGTTGTTGTAAACATGCAAACATACGGTGATCACCATATCTTACCCTTTCAGGTTCCCTGATATAAAGTAATCACTAATCAGTAAACCTCATTTGTAGCCAGTTTGTAAATCTAAAAAAATAGACTTTGTGAAATCGCCGAGTTGCCGACTCAATACTCGACGTAATAAGCCACATTTGTTGCAGAAGATATTCTTATATTAGTATATAGTACAGACATAACAAAACGGTACAGGACAGTAACTAGAACTAGAAGCATATGATTGGTAACCATTCGATCGGTGGTGCGAAACGGATGTACTATTGACCCAGAGGTCGGCAAAAAAGCCTGGGCTCAGGGCAATGGCGATTTTATTCATTTTATGTTAATGTACCGGTACATTGACTGTGTGTATTTTAAGGCCGGCGCACACTAGAGCTATGTGCTTAGCAAAAAGTCATTCGTGGCCATTAGCGTAAGCCAGTTGCTCTCGTGTGCGGACGACTTTTCCAGTGACTTTCGTCATTCGTGCCAAAAGTCGCCGGAAAAGTCGCCCGCACACGATTGCACCTGGCTTACGCCGATGGCCACGAATGACTTTTTGCTAAGCACATAGCTCTAGTGTGCGCCGGCCTTTATGTAACATTGAAGACCTCTATGTGTGGGCAAAATGCAAATGGCTTTTATGCCTCGCATATTTTTAGAGAATATTTTATTCTAATTAGGTCTCTATTATTTTACATTCGATAAACAAGATTTAACAATTATTCTCCAAATGTGAGGTAGTATCGCTGGATATACATCTGCATGGAGTCGAGGCGACTACGTCACACTCAGTTAAGAGTATCTTCTTTCAGTATTCTTTAAAAACGATTTAAGTTTACTCATGCTGATATTTTCTCCTGCACAAAATTTTTTAATTGTTCTACGACCACTGATAAAACCACGAGTGATTGACACGTTTGTATAAACGATCAAATACAAAATGTACTATAGTATAATGCGCGGTTCTAGGCCAAAACTACAATCATATTCCACAATAATTTTTATAGAATTATCATTCTGGTCATTTTCATTAACACAAACCATTGTCGATTTATTGACAATATGAAATAGTAATTTTGATTTTCAATATAAAACTTTTCAGTTTTACTTTGCCACGCTTGATTGGTGATTGGTTTAGCAAATAACAATAAACAATGAATGAAATCAAATAACACTGTCACGGTTCAAGAAGCAAAGACAGGCTTTAAGTTGCTGTAATTCTATTCCTTTTACAACAGTACAGTCGAGAAAATGTTTTTTTATAGTTTGGTAAGCGTAGTACATATACCAGAGGATTGACAGCAAAGTTGATGTGGAATATTCCAGAAGATACCTCATTCAAAACTTCAACAGTTAGATCATCACTAAACAATTTTTGAAACACTTTCATGTGAAAGAATATCGTCGAAGGCACAACACAAATCACTTGAATACACGCCACAATAATAATTGTTCTCAAAAATTGTTTTTCCTGCATAATTCGCGCCTGTTGCTGTCGATTTGTAATGTTCTCTAGAGCTAAATTTTTTGACTGTTTTTTTAACTTGTGGTACGTTAACCCGTACATCACACTTGCAAACAAAACTGGCAAAATCTGGGTAAGAATCCTTATGTGTGTGTCCACGTCAGTTACTATAGCAAACACAAAGTTTTTTATGGGAAATGCCGAACCAAAAAGCCAAACACAAGCCAACCACACGAACATCTTTTTTCCTTTCGTCAAAGCTCTATGTTTGAAAGGACACAGAACCAAGAAAAAGCGATCAAGCGAAATTGACGCTATTGTTAAAATGGATACATTCATGCAAGAGAAAACAACGAGGTGCCTCGGCCATTCCCATTGCCAGTTTTTGGGTATGCAACATTTTGTCGGAGTTATCAGGCAGACCAGGAAGTCTGAAGCAGCTAAATTTACAACAAGATATGTTCCTGAATTCTTGAAGCATTTTAGAGGATCTTTGATGAAAGCAATAATAAGGAACGCATGTAATATTACACCAACAATACAAACACAATAGGACAGCATGTCCAAATAACTTATCTGAAAACCAGCGAATTTTTCCTCTGCCATGATCTATAAAGTTATTAAAGCAGCTCTTCGTAGTATGCTTTAAGTACTTCGTATTGAGTCTATTAAAAATACGTTTTCATTTAGAGCAACTTGCTTCATTTAAATTAAAACGCTTCATAAACCGTTTAAATATCGAAAGACCTATATTCCACAATAATAATAACACATGTAAAATTTAATGAAAAAAAAGTAAAACCACCAATCAGAACCATCTTGTTACAAATAGAACAAAATTTATGTAGTTTATTATTGACATGCATGTAGCTATTGTAGGGTGCTAAATTAAAAGTGCAACTAAGATCTATAAGTTCTTTAATTTAGCATTATATACTCATATATGTCTTACGACTGACAAGACTTACACTACACACACTTGATAAGTTAACCTCGGTTAAGGTGAGATACTATTCATAATTTTAGTATATATTTCCAGAAAAAACACTTGATACACTAAAATTGGTATAAAACATCCAATGTTGTCTTCTTTACCAATTAACACAATAAATATATTGCATATAGTTTTATTAATAACACGCATTTAAATTACATAAAAATGATAATATGCATGCAAGCTAAAGTTATTTTAGTACTCACTTATTTATTCATAGGTCTATAGAAATAAACAGAATGGATTTTTTCAATATAACTAACATATTAAATAAAAAACTTTATAAATTTTAGTACAGTCCAGAAATAACCTAACACTGTAGTTCGGTCGACCGAATAGAAACCGCGCAGACGAAAAAATACGATCACGGTCGCAATTCGCTTCAGAACGGAATGTTATGAACAGCTGAGAACGACAACACAATAATCATATCTAAAACAATCAAAACATCTTAAAGAAATATCTGTCAGACTGAGTTAGGCCGAGCTTAAACCGCGATCAGACTGAGGTTTGACCTTGGTTAACCGCAGTTTTTGTTAGGTTATTTCTGGACGGTACTGTAACTCCATAGCACTAGATAATCCGTGTTTCCTGCCAAAGAAACACAGATGCTAGCTGGCGGGTCTTTCAATGTTGTGTTGCTTTGCAACAATACAACAAATAAAATGTTTTTCTATAGTTTGGTAAACGCAGTACGTACACCAGTGGATTTACAGAAAAGTTGAAGTGGAATAACCCATGAAAGATCTCCTTTAGAATCCAAACAGCTGCTCCATCATGAATTGTTTTTTCGATTGACTCAGGGTAATACGTGGCTATAGACGTAGGGACGATGCAAACGAATTGAATGCACGCTACAATAATAATTGTTTTCAAAAATTGTTTTTCCTTTATAAATCGCACCTGTTGCTGTCGATTTGGAATGTTTTCGAAAGCCACGTTTTCAGATTGTTTCTTTACTTTCTGGTATGTTAATCCGTACACCACGCTTGAAAATACGATTGGTGACATTTCGCCAAGAAACCGCATGTGTTTGTCCATGTCACTTTCAAAGGAAAGGATAAAAACTTTTACTGGATATGCAGAGCTAAGAAGCCAAATACCAGCCAACCACATGACCATAATTTTTCCTCTCATTAAAACTCGATGTTTCAAAGGATGCAGAACTAAAAAGAAGCGATCAAGTGAAATTGATGCGATCGTTAAGATCGATACACTTGTGAAAGAGTACTTCACGAAATTCGTAAGCCTCTGCCACAGCGAATATCTTTGTGTCATGCAACACCCATCGAGCGGAGAAATCAGACAAAGCATGAAATCAGTGCACAGCTAGATTTCCGACGAGATATGTCCCTGAGTTTTTGAAGAATTTCAAAGGATCTTTGATGAAAGCAATGATAAGAAGTGTATTTGAAATTATACCAAAAATGGAAGAAAAGTGAGGTACTTGGCCCATCGTACCTAAATCGAAACCAGCAAGTTTAGTGCAGTGAATTGCGGAGAGAAACACTCGTTTAAATAATTGTAGTCTGCATTACATGCATGAGATTAATAGTTCATTTTGATTGAAACACCTGCAAAAGCTGTCGTTTTGCACCTTGATTGACATTTCCATTTAATACTTAAATTGCCAGCACAATCTATGTGCTATA